CCGCAAGCGGTCGAGCAACCACCTGATTGACGAAGGCCCCGCCCGCACGGCGCGGGCGGGCCACCCACAAATACACATGCACACACCTGGATTGGGTTAAAAAAAATATACAAAAAAAAAGAGACGACGATTCAGAGCGTGTGTTCCGACGAGTTATTCTCGCTAATTTCGCCACCCCCTTTCCTTCAGAGGGCCACGGGCGCTGACCTACGTTGTCACCGATCGGGATTTTTTTGCCAGCTCACGTCCTTTCTACAATCTGTACCCTTAGCACGAACCATTATCAAATTCGAATACCTAGATTATTTCGGTCTAGTTATACGTCAAATATGTACTAATTTTTAGTTCTCCTTACGTCCGTTGTGGCGTGGCTGTTCGAGTTGACATACAAAATTTGATATTGACATTTCGCAATCGCAAACTATTCGAATTCGATATTGGTTCGTGCTAGGGGTAATGGGGACCTCTTCACGCTTAAGCCGCTGAACCGGTTTAAATTAAATTTGGTATAGAGATACTTTCGAGTCCCGAGGAACGACATAGGATAGTTTTTATCCCATAAATAATCCTTTATGAGTAGTGAGGTGGTAAGAGGGATGTGAAAGTTTGAATGAAAATCCATATTTTCACCTCATCATCAGCCTATTAATATCCCCATTGCTGGGGCACAGGCCTTCCCTATGGATGGACTAGGAAGATTGGGCAATGACCCACCACGCGGGCCCAGTGCGGATTGGCGGATTGTAACGACTGCAGATGCAGCCAGGACCAACTGCTTAACGTACCTTCCGAAGCACCAAGAATATAAATAAGAAGATATTTTCACCTGCTAGTATTTAATAAAACTATGGCTAAGGATTGGTCTTCGGACGCCAATTTTTACTGATGCTTCTTTAACTATCAATGGAGAAGCCGTAGGTGCTGCTGTTTCGGATCCTCAAATTTTAAATTATCTTAAGCTTGAAATGCCATGCAGAACTGCTGATAATTTCCCAGTGTTTTGGATGACATTTTAGAAGACTTGGTAAGTAATACTTGCAGATGCAGAATTGTACCAGGCCTTACCCTGATATTTGCAAAACTGTCACAGCAGCCAGTCTATATAAAAGTAGAATGTAAATAAATAATTGATTCAAGCTGTTCGTTCACTTCTACGAATTAAGCGTCATCATAATATCGCAATATTTGTAACGAAAGTGATTCTCACACTACTTAGTGCACAGCAAACAAATAAAAATAGTTTTATCTAATGGACACTTTTTATTGCTTAGGTACGACATTTGGTTACACCAGTGAAGAAAAGTAAACAGTGATGTTGACATCCATTTAAAGGTCATAGCCGACATATTAACTCGGAAAGGAATCGTCATTGTATCAACTCGAGCCGATATCACAAGTACATGAGAAGTTCAATTACTTTGCGATTACGATTAGTGTGCGTTACAGTAGTTTCATAATCACCCCGGCAAACTTCTTTAGCATTGATCATAGACAAGAAAGCCTGCGCAATAGCAACTACATACTAAAACATCTTGCGCAAATTTATTTGTCTGTGGTTATGTTCAGTAAGTTTGCCGCTAACTATACAACGAATACTGAACGGCTCGAGTTGATACGGTGACGATCCCTTTCCGAGTTTATAGTCTACCTACGACCTTAAGACACCACTTTATACGAAACGTTAAGAAAGAGAGACGTTCAACTCTTTTCTAAAATGCATTGTGATTTCCCATTTGGAAGCCCTTAAATCTACAAAACAAATACAATCTAAAAGGTTCTCTCACCCCTAGTGTTGGATTATTTCAATTTCGGTTAATTTCATAGATGACATGTATTGTAGGGTCAGCAATCTTTGCCAAAGAGCCATCTGATTGAATGAAATACTTTCATACACAGTCCGACGGGGATCAGAACTTATTATGAACAATGATTATAGTGTCACGTTTTTGTCAAGTTTGCTATAATTCTTGTCGCACTGCACATTATACCCTCACATTATATACATTAAAAATTATACATACATACATAAGCGACTGACATAAACATGAATATAGTACAGAAATATGTATTTTGGGGAATGTGTGTATACAAATGATTGTGCTGCGCCTACAGTGGTGGTATAGACATTATAAAACTATAAAACAATATTATCGGCACTTATATGGCACGATGTAGTATATCGTTGTTGTTTATCAAGTAAAGGGGTTTAAACTTTTTGGTGTAGAAGCTGGCTTATCGACCCGCCGCCATTTTGTTTTTTTATTTCGAAAAAATAAATAAAATGGAGGCGGTATGATAGGCTGGATCGCTTCAACCCCTTTACTATGGTTATAAATCTCCCCGTATTAGGCATATGGGCACTCTATAAAATACTAGGATAAACCTTATAAAAAGACAACTCCTGTATTAATTAACGGTTCCAAGGCTAGCGAAGTAAACCGCCAATTACTTTTTCTTCCCTACCAGGCTAACAAATGAAAGCGTGAGTCTTGTTTTACAAATCATTAATACATTATAATTTAATTAATTATAATTTTTATCAGGTCAACTTGAACCAAGTTTTTGAAACTCTTAAAATAAACTAGCAAACTAGTGAACCAAATGTTCACCAAAACCTGATTTCTCGAAAACCGGAAGTGCTACGTTACTCAAATCCGGTTTGTAGTCTTATCAGACTATTCTTAACTTATAACTTAAATATTCTCTTTATCTATCTCTTACGGTTTGGCCGCTGAAACAGAACCACAGACGGACGGACGGACTTGTCTAATAGATAAGAGATGAGAGTACATTTAATTTTAAGAGTTTCAAAAATTTTAGGTAATTTATAACCAACAACATAACAAAGTGAACTGAAATTATTAAATCTTATACAATTAGTGTATTAAATCGATGAAAGTCCCACAACCCCAAAATACACAGCAATAGTACAATAATTTAGAAAATACAAATAGTCGCCAATGTTATTCATTACACACATCTTTATGTACAGAAATAAATCTAATATAACAATTATACATGGACTAATCGATAATTCAGTCAATTAGTAAAATACAATATCATATCATCAATACCCGATCGGATGACTTTTTAATATATGTTGAATAAAAAACAAATTATTATCCTTTAAGAATTTTGTATAGATAGTGAAAATAATAAATAAAATCGATAATGAGTTTTATGGTTTACAACATCTTTATTAACACACAGATCGCCATTAGCCATAAATAAAATATTATGTTTAAATGGATTTTTATTATATGACCAAATCCAATTCAATGTCAAATACTTTTGGTGTTGTATAAACTCTGTGAATTATATTGACGAGACGACAAAAGTATTTTTAACATGGTGAATGTAAGACCAAAATATAATTGTGATTCGGATGATTTTACATTGTTTCCTCGTATTGTCATTGTTTATTAAAAGGCCATATTTTTATAAATAATACTGAAATTGTCAGATTTAAACTGATAAGATATAATAACATATCTCACATCTATTATCTATTTTGGATAAAAAAAATACAAATATATTGATTAAAGAATAGTTGAAACACAAAATTTTATAAGGTATACTAACAGAACACAGAAAAATATTTACTGCCATCTCGTCAAAGTACATACACGCGCAGATCTATTGGCGATATTGCGCCTTTATTTCGTAATTTGCTTCCAATTCAGTATATTATCAATACAGGTATTCTATCCGTCAGCCTAGTATCACATATCACAAGCCAACAGTGCTTCCTTTGGGGCTACGCTTATTGGTGTTGAAAAAAATATATAGGCCTGTGGGTCTTTTGTGTAATATAATATATTTGAATACCTACTTTCAGACAGCAAAACCGAGTTCCCAACTGATGTAATATTTTGGAAAATATTATTAAATTACCTTATTTTCATTGTTTCAAATTGGTCTGAAATATTGAATTCATAAATTAAAAATAAGATGTGCAAGATTTTTATTATATATTTTTTTGTAGTTGAAAGGAAAATGAAGGGGGCCCTGATATTGTCTGGTAGTATATCTAAATTAAAATTAAACATTTTAATTTACATTTAAGATAGTTGTTTTTCACAAATAAACATATAAATCAGTTAATTATTTATACTAGGCATCATTTATCAACAAACAGATTTAACAATCTATGATTTAATCGACATAATTCTTTATATACATGGTGTAATTTACAATGTGCTTATGATATTTATTATACCAGTCCTATTTAAAGTTTAATAGGATTAGTTCTTATTAATTTGTACATGGAAATATTTTACAGTAAAAAGTCTTGCATTCATAAGATATCTGTCGTATATATATATTGTTATATATAGTCTGTTAAGTCATCTTACGAATAATTTAGTATGTTTTCTGCTACTTTTTTTGTATATTTCAGTTCTTTTATTATGGTAATCAATGACTAGTCTTGTGACTTACATTTTGTTGATTTTTCTTGCACTGGTAAAGATTCCTTCCTCGTTAATATTGATTTATATCATAGACCGTGTTTGAATTTTTTATTATACTATTCCTACATGAAGGATGTGACGTTTTGACAAGACTACAAACATGATTGTCAAGCCTTACAACTGATCAGAAAGAAAGACCATCTACTTTAGAAAAGGCCAGACACTATATGATATTAGGGATTTCAATAATAGGACATTAATGTAGGTTTTGGAGATTCAGCCTTTTTTAAGTTTCTCTAATTTCTCCGGACAAGCATCTATAAAGCTTGACTTGTCTGGCTTTACCAGGGGGCCAATCGCCTAACTTTATTGCTTTGGAAAACGCTATCGCTTACGATTTCATTTTGTTATATCTGACCGCCGAAGGTTTTCAAATACCTCACGCTCATTTTATTTAATATTGTTATTGCCAATGCAAAAGAAAAAAAAAGAGCGCGAGGCATTTGAAAACCTCAGGCAGCTAGAAATAATAAAATGAAATCGTAAGCGATAGCGTTTTCCAAAGCAATCCGGTTAGGCAATTGGCCCCCAGAACGGCTGGCAACCCCTATTCCAATACGAGCGGTCCATAGTAGTAGCTACTATTGAAGGTAAAGGAAGGTCATATTAACTAGGGATTCGCAAATATTTACCTTACTTTTGACTATAATATTAGTAAAAGAAATGTTTTAAATACATATATCAAAGTCATTTTATTTTAGTTAAACTCTTGGGTACTGTATCTTTGACATGTATCTCTAAAAATATCGTTTAAGTGAGACCAACGAAAGTACGATCCTGACAGGTCGAGTCAGTTCCATAAATGAACAGAAGGAAGTGTTTGAATTTGTCTTCTCTCGATCTCGTAAAAAAGGGGGTCCGAAAGTAAACTCTAATAGGCTATTTGACAAGTGTTTGAAAGGGTTCATATGTTATTTATTAGTGTATAGTGACTCTATGACTCTATAAAAAAATCCACAGCACGTCTACAAGCAGGTGCCGTCATTTTAATCAAGTGACAATAAAAAAAACCTTTTTTATTTTTAGTAATATTATCAACTACCTTTTTTTCTCAGAATAGTGATCACTCCCAATATTCATGTTTAAAAATATGCCAATAATTGGTACATTATTTTTCATAGTGTCAAATGGCCTATTCTGTTGCCATAAGAGACTGACACGACCCGTCAGGATCGCATTCTTTCTTTGGCCTCATTATAGTAAACAAGTCGAATTGTATAATATAATAATCTGTAATATATCTACAATAATTTGAAGAGTCCAAAATCAGTTTTTTCACGGAACGCAATTTAATTAAACCGACCAATCAATATGGGCCATTTCTTACAGGATCCGATGACAATACTGGTAGGGCGTACCTCACACAAGGCGAAAAGTTTGTACGAGGATCGAGGTTGCAATTGCAAACCACTTATCGTTCAGCAACACATCATCAACATTACCTTTATTATTTCAACTAGATTAGCCGAGACGCGTCCACGGCGCAGAGAATCAATATAACAATGCACTAAACAACTCGTGGTAAAGACATAGTTGCTCGTTACTAAAATTTCAGTCGCACGGCCTGGTACCAACTTCATTATTTGGAGTGCAGTGATTCACGTCTTCCGCCCGGTGCGGTTCCGCTTCCGCGCAGTCTTCCGTCATATGTGCACGGGCACGTGTAGCAGTAGATCATTGCGGCGCGGAAACTCCAGCGAGCACATCTCGCATTTGAACGGGGCACCCGGTTCCGCCCGCGGCGGGGAGGGGGGCGGGGACGGGCTCGCGGGCGGCGAGGGGGAGGGGGACGGGGTCGCGGGGGGAGGGGAGGGGCCGGGGGCGGTGCGGCGCCCGGCGACGGGTGAAGGCGGTCGGATCGCACGCAAGTCGTCCGCCGGGTGGCGAGGCGGCCTCCGCTGGCGTACCTGCTAGGAAGTCATTACAATTGAGGAGCTGGCGAACAAAACGGTACAACTATTACGCATCTGGTCAAACTACTTTTTTTGATGTGTAAAATGTGTATCTTTCCTCTCGCTTTCCTGCAATTTGTGGAAGTGATTTCGTGAAATGGGACAGAGTGTCGCAAAAGCGCGCACTATTTGATTTGATTTTAGAACATAATGTTCAAATGGCTTATTCCTTTTGTAGTAGGTTTTATTTCTTTTTTTACTAATATGAGGTGAGGTTTCAAATGTTACAAATCATATGCGACTATTGTAAGGCTCGCTTTTTTTACATCGCATTATAATTATACTGTTCTGTTCGCCAGCTCCTCAAAAGTAATTATTGTTCACTGATATCTAAGGAGCTCGATGGAGAAAGTCGTTAGCGCGTTTGGATGTGATCGTTGAAGTTAAGCAACTTTTGCAGTGGTTGGATGGATGGGTGTCCAAAAATTTACTATCTTGAGCTCGTCCGTGCTTAGGAAGGCACTGTAAGCCGTTGGCCGCGGCTGCATCTGCAGTCGTTAGCATCCACCAATCAGTTCTAGGCCCGCGTGGTGGATCATAGCCCAATCTCTATTCGATCCTTGAGGTAGGTCTGTGCCCCAGCAGTGGGGACATAAATAGGCTGATGACGATGATATCTAACGGTGCGTATAGGGTTCTATTTCCCCAAATTGACTAATGTCATAAAAATGATAGACATTTTGTTACAATTTTATTGTCAATTTTCCATAGCTTAGTTTAATGACAATTGTGTTGTAAAACAAGCGTGATTTTTTATGTCGACATAATTGTCAAATTGTCAGTATTCTTGAAATGAAGTCGAGACTGTGTAAGATTTGAGTTATAATAGGGAACACGCATATTTTTTCTTATTTTGATATAGTAGTTTACAGCGTCAAAATATACCTTATCTGCTTGGTGCTCCCCTCCGTGTGTATAATGCGGAGACGGGGGCGGCGATTGCCCCCTTGTTGCCGTCTATGAATGTTAGTGTCACTGACCTGCTTGGTGCGTGCTCCGCGAGCGGGGGTTGCTTCCTTGATGACGTCTATGAATCTACTCATTATAATGCGATTCAACTAAGAATAGGACCGACTGGGCGCTATATTGTGACATCATAGCTGTCAATTCAAAGCAAATATGTAGAGTGAGTAAAAAAAAGCTGTTGTTTACAAATGTTTGGTGTTTATTCTAGAATTAACCGAGTGCCAAAAAAAGGGTTCCAAGATTTTTTTGCAAACCGTACTTTTCAAGCGACATTTGACAGATGGAGGTCTTTGGCTTTTCTATTCTTATCTGAATCGCATTATAACAATGTTAGTGTCACGGACCTGCTTGGTGCGCGGGCGCGGCCCCTCCGTGTGTATCATGCGCGGGCGCGGCGCGGGCGGGGCCGGGGGCGCGCGTCTCCTGCGGCGGCGAGGCGCGGGCGCTGGCACGGGCGGGGAGGGCGAGGGGCTGGGGGTGGGGCTGGGCGCGGGCTCGGGTGCGGGGGAGGCGGCGGGCGGGGAGGACGCCGGGGGGAGGGGGGATGGGGAGCGGGATCCCCAGTCGCGCGTCGGCGAGCTCTCCGTCTTTATCTTCCGCCGCCGCTTGTACTTGCGCGGGCCAGTCTGCAGGCAAAATAAAATAGTAAGAGTGACACCAAGAGCAAGCACACTTTGAGTCACTAGTGGCGGCGGTTGGAAGTGTTTCTAATTATACGACCACCACTGTATATACATATATACCTAGTCAGGTCATAAATTCTGTCACATGTTTAATATAAAATAAGAATAATCATTATGTAACCATTTACATACCAGAATGAACTTAACAAAACATAGATTCTTATGACATTAAAGTTTATTCAAAATGACTTCCGTGATTTTGAATAAAGGCCTTCAATCTCAGCGGCCAGTCGTCTATCGCAGCACGAACGAGGTCCATGTCAATATCGGCGGCTGCCTTAATCAAGGATGTCTTGAGTGACTCCAAATTGGGATGAGCTTTGAGCACGCCTTTTCCTCCAAGTGTTGCCATATCTTGTAATCTAGCGGACTCAAATATGGACTGGAGGAGGGCCTGTCTTCGTGGCGGATGAAGTCGATTTCACGCGCCGCCAGCCAGTCTTGTGTGCTCTTCGCTCTATGAGCTGGCGCCGAATCTTGTTGGAATACCCAGTGCCTGTTATTGAACATGGTATGAGAAACAGGTTCCACAAGGTTCGTCAGAACATGGTATGAGAAACAGGTTCCACAAGGTTCGTCAGGACTGTATTTTGATGCACAACTGCATTCGTTTTTACACCTTTCTCACAAAAATATACCTCTGTTAAGCTCCAATAAGAAACTCCCAACCATACCATGAGCGAGGATGGAAAATGACCTCGTTGGACATGCGGAATACGGTTGATCGCTTCTTCACTACTGTGTGCGTACACCTTATCATTTTGTTTGTTGTAGCTCTCTTCTACGGTAAAGATTTTTTCATCCGAAAAAAGAATATCCCGATATTTTTTCCCGTGTACCGCTTCAACAAAGCGCGGCATCTCTTCAGTCTCAGGTCCATTAGACGAGCATTCAAACGATGTCCTGTTTTTCTTCGATATGCCCGAAGGCCTAAGTCTTCATTTAACACCCTTTTCACCGTGGTTCTGCTTAACCCCATCTGAAGGGCCAACAGTTTCTGCTTACGTTTGGGATTTCTTTGAATTCGCGCCTTCACAGCTTTTATCACTGCTGGAGTCCTAACAGACCTAGGACGACCACTTCTTGACCTGTCGTCTACACTGTCTTCATTCTATCGTTTGATGGTACGATAAATGAATCTTTTGGTTATATTCAAATTTTTCAGTATGTCAAAAATTTGAATTGGCGCGTAACTGCAACGATGCATCGCAATAACTGCAATACGATCTTCTTTAAGCATCCACTCCATATTTAAAACTGAGTAAAATTCTAAAAAGTGTACATTTTTATTTTCATGAATAAATCGAAATTCGAATTCAATAAACTTCACTGAATTCAATAAAAAGTTTTTACTGTGTGACAATACTTATGACCTGACTGTGTATGTATATATGTATGTGTGTATGTGTGTGTGTGTGTGTGTGTGTGGGATGCGTGCGCAGCTCTTCCCGACGAGCATGAAAGTTGGAAGGTAGCTCCGCCAATTGGCCGCCACTAAACCACTAGCGGCGGGGCGATCAGATAGAGCGTCTATTAACAATGTTAGTGGCTTGACTGAGCAACTCACTAGTTGCTCAGTCAAGCCACTAACATCTCTTATCTATTAGACAAGTCCGTCCGTCCGTCCGTGGTGCTGTTTCAGCGGCCAAACCGTAAGAGATAGATAAAGAGAATGTTTAAGTTATAAGTTGAGAATAGTCTGATAAGACTACAAACCGGATGTGAGTAACGTAGCACTTCCGGTTTTGAGAAATCACGTGATTTCTATTTCAAACGAAACCACACAAAATCTCCGAAGTTCTCAATTAATTAAATACATTTTTTTTTTTGGTGAACATTTGGTTCACTGGTTTGCTAGTTGTTAATAATGTTCTATAACCACTGTTCTATATTCTATAATAGAACCACTGTTCTTTATGCGCTTGCTTTTATGTACGGTTTGAGTATAGATATGAGAAATCGATTGGGCGACAATCGAATGACATTAATAACTCTAATTAATGTCCCCCAGCAGTGGGGACATTAATAGGCTGATGATGATGATGATCCATAAATTCGTGAGGTGTTTTTAACGATTTTCTGATCCCAGGGTCCCCTCGGCAAATAGAAAATACAATTTTACTTTAAGGAGGAAGAAGTATTTGACCTGAACGCCCCACTTCCCTGCGTGAGATTGGGTAAGATTTAGTTCGACTCCTCCCCTGAACACCTCACGTAATTTAGGGACATCTTTGGTAACGTATGGCCCATTTAATCTTAATTAATTTACCATTTCTTCTCTACTCGATATGAAAACCTCAAACCTATAAAAATCATACTAATATTATAAATGTGTCTGTCTGTCTGTCACCTCTTCACGCTTAAACCGTTGAACCGACTAGATAAAATTAGGTATAGCGATAGTTTCAGTCCTGGGAAACATTTTTATCCTAGAAATAAACCCCTTGATAAAAAGAAAAAGGCGGAAGTTGGTATGGGAAACTAATTTTTCCACGAATATGAAGTCACGGGCACACACTAGTTACTGATACGATTGTAAAGGCTTCGGTTACTTTCGGACACGACGATAGATTTTTAATTAATAATCTAATATATAAAATTCTCGTGGTCACGGTGTGCGTAATTGAACTACTCCGAAACGGAGTACTAGAGCACGGAGTCCGAAACTAGGTAGTGTGTACCGTAGCATATATAGATATTCGTAGGTCGATCGCGATCGACCGTTTGAACACCCCTGCCCTAAATGTTAAGGGTGGTCCACCCTTAATTTTTGTTTTTGACAAAATTTTTCGTTTTTATTTTTTTATGATACATCATACAAAAATACATACAACCCTAAATTTTCACCCTTCTACCACCAACCCCTTTTTTTTATGGCGGTACGTAGTTCGCTTGGACTACTAGTAATAATATAATAATAATTCATCCTTCATTCATAGTCACATAACAAAAATGGTACCTGTGGCTGTCGTTTTAACGCTGTATTTGCGTCACAATGTTGTATTAGGTGCGCCACTAAGTCTCCACTGGAATGTAACGTTCGCCCGCATACGACGCAGCTAAAGGCTGGGCCTCCTGTAAAGACCAAGTACTTACGTTAAATATTTTTTGTTATTATTAAATATATATAATGAATTTCCACTATTAATAAATCGTAAGAATGTCTTTCTCGTTCAGGAGTCATGTTAAGGTAGTTAAAGTGAGTCATGTGGACGAGTAAGTCAAGTTTTTTTTCTCAAAGTTGTCAGTCTTGAATCGCCTGAAGCGAACTGGAGAGCATTGGACAGCCTTCAGGGGATTCCAAAATTCTATACCAGAGCTCTGGCACAGAGGTGACTCAGAATCAAAAGGTAACAGTACAGAAGGAATGTTATCTGCTTTTCAAAGTTTTACCCTTTATCAGTGCAAAACAGTCCTATTCATTGGCTAGGCAATAACTGGAGGCAGAACTCCATACAACTTAGTCGGCATTTTTCGACGTCTGTATGCGTCTCGTATTTTCCGGACTATAAGATTATGGGTCCAATAGGCTATTAGACAAAATTTTGAAAAAGTTTAAAAGTGAAATTAGTGTATAGTGAATTCACAAAAAGTGGATATTTATAATTCTGTTGCGTATAGGTATCAGTTAAATACGAAAACAAAAATTACGTTTTCAAATATACTGTAGTGTGTTAGTATGTATGTGTTAAGCATAGCAAGATAATAAACTCTTGTATTGTGAATCTGAGACACAAATAATAGTGAACTGGAGAAGGACATCTTTTCATTGATTACCCGAACACCCACTGTAACTATAATACCGTCTAAACGTTCCTCTAGCAAATATGGCATCTTACAGGCAGGTGACGTCACACGACTCTCATTATAACGTCAAATAGTACAAAATAAAGCACTTAACGTGTTTAGAAGCACCTGACGTCATTTTAGGCGCCGCCAATCTAAGCATTTTTGTTCACATGACAATAGGTCAAAAAATACTTTTCAATTACATGAATTTTAGTAATATTATCAACTACTACTATGTTGACTCTCATATCCTCAGAACTGCATACTTTTCTCTGGCACAGTCAATAATATCGTACTGTATAACGGTTTGGAGGGGCTCTGGAAAGTCAAAGATGTTAGAACTTGAAAGAGCACAAAGAGCCATCTTGAAAGTTATGGCATTTAAACCTATTAGGTACAGCACCCAGTTAGTGTATGCTTTCTGGCAGGTACTTTCTGTCCGCAAACTATTCGTCCAACAAGTTGTGTTACGCAAGCATATGATATGACCCTTGCACCCTACTAAATAAAAGAAGGAAAGACAATGTGTATAAAATTCCAAATTCTCGAATAGCCCTATTAAAACATCATTATGATTTCATTTCTCCCCTTCTCTATAACAAAGTAAATAAAAGGCTTAACATTTACCCTCTTTCAAAGCATGAATGTAAGATCAAATTGAGCGAGTGGTAACTTGACTTGGAATATGACACTGTGAGTTATTGATCAAGTAAAATATGCACATGCACACACATCTCTCTATCACACACACACTACATATACACATTCACTCATACACACACACACACAGTGTAAAGTATTATAAATACTTTGTTTCAAATCTGTGTGTATGTCTGTAATGTGCCTGTCTTTTGAGGTGGGCGCTAATAACTGTAACACAGTCTTACACCCGGTTTCTGAAACGCACGTCATCGAAAAAATTACGTAACAAGTTGTTAATCTCTATTTAAATGCACTTTGGGTTTCTCAATGAGCCAAGTGACAGTTTGTCAATGATTTGTTGTTGCAAATGTCAAATCTCGAATTAATGGCCGATTGCGGTAGTTTTTGGTTTCCGGAAAGCTTTTTTGTATGTTAACTGCATGTTAACGTTTTGTTGTGTTTTAATAAGTAATTGGTGAAAATTGATCAATTAACAGACTGTCAAAAGAAATTTTACTGATATTTTGGTCAGAGGATTGTTGTCTGGCAAGGAAGATCTGGCACCAACTCGCCAGTTCCGGAAACGAATAAATCCTGTAATTCATTACAATGATGAAGAATTTAAGGATCGCTACAGGATTTCAAAATCTGTTTTCCATCAACTAATGGGAAAACTGACACACCTGGAACTTAAAACGAACAATTATTGTACACTAAAGCCTTCCTAGAATTATGGCTAACCCAACATAAAAAGAATATTTCAATTCAGTTCAGCAGTTCCTGATATTAACGCGTTCAAACAAACAAACAAACATCTTTATAGTGTAGTTTATATCAGATTTACACTATAATTATTTTACTTTTTATTTGCTTTAGAAGTAAATTCCAATTCTTTAATTTTTATTTCTAAATTCTTAATTTTTTTTCCAAGTCACGTTTATTTTCCACCGTCACTGCATTGGTAGACTTATTTTCTATTATTGCTTTGTACCTACATTGAAATATATATTATCAATATATTTACAAATTTTAAATGCCAAAAGCAGATCGGTTTCTTTGTATAGATTAGAAAGCTTGAATTGAACAACTGATTTGTACCTATTAGGTACTTACTTATCCACTATTGTTAAAAGCTCCCTCTTTTCTCGCTCCGTATAGTTTTTTCGTGACATATTATGTAAAAACTTTACAAATGAAAATAAATTTCAATGTTTTCGGTACACACAATTGCTTCTATTTTTCTGACTTCTAAATAAAAGTCACTTATAAGTTGTCAAAAGATAGAGACAAAGCTATGCGTTAGACAGAAACAAAACATGAATGATCGAATGAAAGTGACTGGTTTTAGCTAGGGTGGCCAGACTAATAAATAAATCCTGCCTTAACAGTAGATTCGTTAATTTTTCGGTAAATATCTTTTCAGAAACCCACAGTTGCTCAACAAATAGTTAATTATGACAGTCTGTCAACTAATTCATTATTTGACATGCGTTTCAGAAACCGGATGTTAGACTACTACGGTTGTTAACGCTAAATTGTTATATTGTATACGTCATGGTTCAAAAATTCAGATTATTATTATTATTATTACTGTTTTGTCAGAATAGTGAAACTGCTCCCAATATTCATGTTCAAAAACATGCCAATATTCGGTACTTTATTTTCCATACTGTCAAATAGCAATATCAAATGTCAATAGTACGGTCCTATCAAAAAGGTGCAGAATGACGTGGTGACGTGGCAGTACGACGCACTGGTCGAACGCTCGAGAGAACCGGCACAGATATAGTTATATGAATATGATCCTAGTGACAATGCAACAAGGTCGAGTTACCGTTTGCTCGCCGGTCGGGCGCAGAATGGTGCGAGCGTACGTGTTCCCGCAGTACGACGCGCTGGTTGAACGCTCGAGGTCACCAGCACAGATATAGTTATATGAATATGATGCTAGTGACAATGCAACAAGGTCGAGTTACCGTTTGCTCGCCGGTCGGGCGCAGAATGGTGCGAGCGTACGTGTTCCCGCAGTACGACGCGCTGGTTGAACGCTCGAGGTCACCAGCACAGATATAGTTATATGAATGTGATGCTAGTGACAATGCAACAAGGTCGAGTTACCGTTAGCTCGTCGGTCAGGCGCTGAATGGTGCGAGCGTACGTGTTCCCGCAGTACGACACGCTGGTTGAACGCTCGAGGGCACACGGCACACGCATACGGTTTCTCGCCTGAACGAAAAAATGGGTTTGTTTCAATAAAAGCATTTTTAAAGAAAAGTTTTACTAGAAAAGAATCCACGCGGACCAGGCAGCGGACGGGACTCGAACCCGCACCCTTTCGGAATCCGGGCGAATGTACTGACCAATTATGTTAACACGGCCCTGATGGCCGCGTCGAAATTTTCCTAGCCTTAAGCTGCAAGGCAGCGCCATCTTTTCGCATAATGTCAAATAAATAAATAAATAAAAAAAATGGGTGCGTGTACTTATGTAGGCGCGTGAGAAGTTATCCTTCTTTGGCATCGTTTAAAATTAGTTTTTAATTGCATGCAAATAATTAATTACAATAAATTAATAAAAAGTCTGGAAAAGGACACAGTCAATAAAGTTCAGTTTTAATTTGAAAAAATAAATAAATAATCAAAATAATCAATTAAAATCGCTACTGAATATAATTTATTAGAACATATGTGATTTGCACTTGTTTGAAACTCAAACACGTATTCCGAATATACAAACTAGAAACATGTGGATAAATATTATAAATATAATACAACTATAACTATAACTGTTACTTTATTACAAAAAATAAAGATGTCGTTTTTGGTTCTACTACACCAATGGTCAAGAGATGGCGCTGTAGTCTCCTGAATCGCGCTTTGGTTCCGTTGTTCCAGATTAATAAATACTTTTGATATTATAAATATGAATACCTATAACTGTTACTTTATTACAAAAAATAAAGATGTGGTTTTTGGTTCTACTACACCAATGGTCAAGAGATGGCGCTGTAGTCTCCTGAATCGCGCTTTGGTTCCGTTGTTCCAGATTAATAAATACTTTTGATAGGCCTTCACAATGCAGTCGTTAGCACCCACTAAATAGAGATTCTATTTCTATTTTGTTGGTAGATTTTCTTAATGTGCGGTAAACACAAAAGTAACGCATGAAGTTGGTCGCTAAAGCGACCAACTTCATGCTGTTAAAATTTTGTGTTACAGTGATGCGCGCGCATCTTAAAATTTCACTCTCATCATTTTTTCATAACGCGCCTAAAGAAGTATAACTTCAATAAATATTTCCAACACTCACACCAATTACCAATTAGCCTAGCCCCAAAGTAAGCACTGTAAGGCTTGTGTTATGGGATGCTAGGGTAACGGCAAATGAATACTTTGAATGAGTTAAATGCTTAAAAAAAAAGCATTTTTGTTTTGGTGTTAAGAATATTAAAAACTATTTGTTAACCCACAAACTCACCTGGGCAGCTAATAAAATCACAATGAGCTCTTCGCAGTCTAAACAATACTTATTCGACATGTTAAGACGTATTATGGAATCTATATATCTCATATGATATGACTACATAATTTAACCAAAAAGTGTAATTAACTAGATAAAGCTCAAAGTCGGTTGGTAAAATTTGGCAGTTTTAGATAACATGTTGCTGGTTCCTAATAACTTATCTTAAAAGTACAACAATTTTATCTGTTTTTTTAATCATAATTATGACATTCTCAAATCGATGTTATTAGTTAAAGAGGAATTAAATAATTTCACATACCTGTGTGTATTCGTTCGTGTTTCCGTAGTGTGCCGCCGTCGGCGAACGCTTTCCAACAGAAGCGGCAAGCGTAGGGTCGCTCACCGGTGTGGATTCTTATATGGATCTGCTGAGAACTCCGAGACCCGAACACTTTGCCTACGAAACAATGACATTGTTTATAACGAAAGAAAGAGCATAAAAAAGGCAGTGTGGTGATGGGGTGTGGGTGACTCACGGGAGAAATCACGACGAGCGTTCAGTGTGGAATTAATATTTAATTAACTTAACCTACATCTTATATACTATTTACAATACGTATACGACGTGCTTAGGCTTAGATACCTCTGATAATCGTATCAGGGAAGTGTTATGAACACGTAACTAGAAGACGTGATTTACACTTCACCACACCTCCCCTGAAACGTTAGACGTCCCTCCCCTGAAAAGGAAGACCCTAAACACTTTTCTTCTACGTTATAACATATGTAACTCGATTAATAACATATTATACATAACAACATATTAAAATCCCTTTTAAGAGATTCACTAATCTCATATAATACATTACTTAAATTATTTCATTTATTAGGTAATTTTATACAAACAAATTATTATCAAAAGTAAATCCTTACTATAATTACTAAACAATTTATTTACGTTGATTTTTAACAAAAAAAAACATTACATATTCGAATTTTACATTTTTATTAATCTATTCCAACATCACGTTGGTTGTATCTCTTCCTAAATAGCATATCTTGAAAACAATGATTTATTTTGCTAATAAAATCTTTCTTATTATGCTTATTTGTATAATAAATATTAGATAAAATACTGTTATTGCTTGAGCTTTCAGGCTCATTCATATTATCCATCTCTTTTAAGGCAATTTTGCCATTTTTATCTTTCGAATCACTTTTTACCCGGCTGCGCAATGCAAGAGCGCGAAGCGCGACGCGCAGACAGGGTTATGTGTTTAACAGTCTATATATGTATGTTTGTTCCTTTGTGGCACACTAGAGACCAAACGCCTGGACCGATTTTGATGATTCATACATCAATCGATTCGTCTCAATCATGGGAGTGCTACTAAAGATACGATAGTAATCAAAATTCAATATGGGCAAAATTAGGCGCCATATTGTGACGAAATAAAAAAAAAAGTTGACAAAATATGTCGAGTGGGGTATCACTGTCTAGATAATCAAAAATCATATTTAGGTTCCTAACACCATTTTTCATTTTATATGATTGTTTAGGATCTACAACGCTTTAAAGTTGTATATTAACCACTTACGCTTTTAATTTCAATCTTACGTTTGTATGGATCTTTGTTACTCTTTCACCTAAAAAATACTGGATGGATTTTAATGAAACTTAACAGTAATATAGCTCATATATGATAATTACATATATATAATAATTTATGTACTTATTGAGTGAATTGGCCAATATATAATAATAAGTGTCACATAAGACGGAAAAAAATCTCCCATCTGTGAGCCATTTTGGCCTGCACTGTAAAAACAATAAAAGTTACATGAATGTAATGAAGAGTGAAAATGTATCTCTTAAATAGTTTAAAAAAAAAGTCTGTGACACCATATATCTATTTTTAATGTGTAAGTCATTACCGCTAAAATAGTGAATCAAAACTAAAATATTATTTGATATCTATTTCCAAAATGCACATTTTGTATTAACAAATCATTTTTTTATCAAAACAAATACTTTAATCGCTTTTGATATTTAAAGACGATAAACTTTGCTTTTTACACTACGTCATTTCGACAAATATTTAAAAAGTTACAACGATGACAAAGTGATAGCGCGGTGTACTATGTAAAAGAAAAAAAAATGGGGTATTCGCAGTATCTGATCCTATACGAAGTACTAACAATAAAACTGTGATACAGTTCCCTCTTATTAAATGATGAAAAATATATTATCATAATAGGTATTTATGATTATTGAATTTTAATGAAAAACTCAGAATTTTACTGTTTTTCATTTTTTTAACGATATTACTTAATGTTACAAAAAAGTTTTACTTAATATAATGACAAATAACCCATTTTTCGCTAGTAAGTACATACTTATTGGAACCCCCGTATTTATTAATCAGCTCGCGATAATATTGGTTTTGTAATAATTCTGCAAAATTCAAAGTAAATAATGTAGATTTTTATAGGTAAATCACCCCTTTCATCACCCTACGCCTATAAGTATTGCGATGTTGTAGCAAAGAACCAAGTTCCCATCTACTTCTATATGGGAATTCATTATATTCGATTTAGCTATTAGGGCAGGGTAGCGCAACAAACAAACTCACTTTCGCATCTATAATATAATATTATACTTACTTGTGATCCACCCGGGCATTGTACGGGCGAAATTTATTTATCGGGATAAAATATAATAATAATAATAATAATAAATAGTAGTTGGACAGATTATTTGTTACAAACATACAAATCTTGCCTCTTTATAATATTAGTATAGATAGTTAGGATAACATAAGTATTTAATTGATGAAAAAGATTTAAAAATAAAGTAAGTAATAGGTTTATTTGATTATATTTGTAAAAGTTACTTAGCATTTGTGCTTAATCACTGATACGTTATTCGGTATTTTATAAACAAAAAAATTTTTAAAAATAATTGCCATGATTGCACTACTCTTCATTCGAGTTTTACACTACCAATAAAAAAGGGCCGAACACTAAGTCTTTGACCTGTTAAATGTGAACGCTTTAAAAGAAAACTACAAAGAGAACTATAAATTGATAATAAATGAGATTGCTATGGTGCTCTACCTAACGTTATGAAAATTTTATTATGCGCCTTTAGTTTAATCAAATATTATAAACTTTGCTTTGGTGATTGCATAATTATTTAATTTAGTGATCTAAGGCAGTTGCCACCATTGTCCAAAACAATAGACGGGGATTACTGCTTTCTTCAACCTGCGACATAAACGTCATTGATTGGTATTGTATATAGGGTGATTAAAAACATTTGAAGTTAACTTCTGGCATCTACATATTGGGTTTCTGTGAATTATGTAGGTATATAAAATTATGAGACTAGGGACTGACACTGAATTTGTGTATATCACAATCTTAGACGTCCGGCATTGACATGACAATGCAGGCACTGCCAATTTTAAATAGTCGACGAATAAAATTAAATGAATTTTATATTTACTGCTAATCTATTAAAAAAAACATAAACAAAAGATGACTTTTTGAGTAAGTGCTAGTTTACTATAAAATTTACATATATTAGAGATATTTATGTAACGACTTGATTTAACTTCACACATTTTTGCGAAAATTGAGACCCATCTGTAGCCTTGACCCCGCTGGTAAAGTCTTTATATGTCTTAGTAAATCAATCTTTTAGACCGACGCAAGGTACTTAATAATTCCCGCGATATTAATTCCCTTACTGAAGTAACAAGACTACGGTATATACCGTCTTAAAATACTAACTAAAAAGTGTGAAATAAAAAAGGTAAATTTAAAAAATCAAAAAACCCGACTGCTTAGTTATACTTCAAATAAAAACTGAAAAGAAAAAAACAAGTCCAGTAGTCTATAATTCTGTTAATAAGGAACAAAGCTACTTTAACAGTCGGGACCCACTGTTGAAAAATATTATGTATTCTTGAATATCTAATGGGTCCCGACTGTTAAAGTAGCTTTGTTCCTTATTAACAGAATTATAGACTACTGGACTTGTTTTTTTCTTTTCAGTTTTTATTTGAAGTATAAATAAGCAGTCGGGTTTTTTTATTTTTTAAATTTACCTTTTTTTACAATTAATATGGGTAATTCAACATTATATTTCTCCCTTAAGTTATTAAAACTTTTAACCTATTTTTCATTAATTATCAATCCTTTTATTTGTAAATGGTTACAAAGCAATTCGACATGTATCGCTAGTCTTTCCTTTTCTAGGAATGACACAGACTTCGCATTTTAAAGGTGCATAAAAAAATAAATTATATTTAGAATGCACACACTTCTTATTGTCTATTTTGTCATTAAAATAAACCTTAACTATTACGTTGACATAAGACTTAGCTTTTACTTTATCTGCTTTTATTGCAGGGAACTCTTTCTTAGAGTTATCATTAGACATTGTGATCTCGTCAATTGCGAACATATTTCCCTTTCGTATTTTATAAGAAGCTTTTAGCTTTTCTTTACATTGGAAACAACAACAAAAAAGTATACAAAACAATTTTTTTTTTAATTTCAAATAACATCACTGCAACGACGTGGCATTGATTCAATCAATTTCATACATTTTTCTAGGGGGATTGAATTCCATGCTTCAACAAATGCTTCATATAGACTGGTGTTACGTTTGTTTGAGACTTTCTTTTTAAAAATATACCAGAGATTTTCTGGCCAGTCTAAAACGGATATACGGATTCGCTAAGGAAATATTTGACGCTATTGGCCGTGTGTTTAGGGTCATTGGCATGCTGAAAGATCCAGGTTACAGGCAAATGATCGTCCGAGTAGGGAATCTTTGTGTGCTCTAAGATATTTTTATATTGCCATTGATCCATTGTACCTTTTATCTTCCGAACGGGTCCAACTCCACATCCGGAAAAACACCCAAAAATTTTCAGTCCGGAAGTAAATAAGTACAATGAGTTATATCATTACGTTTACGATCTAGAGACCCATGGCATACGGACAGACAGACAGATGACAGAATGTCAGCAATAGGGCTCCGTTTATAATACAAAACCTCAACCTTTTAAAGTTGGTTAATAATATAGTATCAGGGATAGTTAATTTACCTATAATCAGTACTGCCATATGCAAAGTTTTAATAAAAGACTGTCAGTCCACTGCACACTTATCGTGGTCCGAATTTAACACTAAAAGCTAATGACCATGCTTAAAATAGAGAAAACTAGAAGCAGCTCTGTGAAGGAAATAAGACTCGGTAATATTACGAGTTCACGACGCTTAGCAGTGAGTTACGACTCGAGGAGGAGGAAATCAAAACAATAAACGACGAAAACATTGTCCTCTTTACAGTGAGGTAGAGAATATCTTGCGTCGCCAAATTCGATTCGTTTCTTTAATATCAACACTCAAACACCAGAAAATGTTCTTCTACAATAAACCGGCTGGGGCTCAAACCGGGTCCCATGAGAGAACGATCAAAACCGGTGTGTATGCATTACCTAAGGAGAGCATAATGCTTAGCATGTCTTATAATGATTTAGTTTTGATAAGATTGTAATTTTATTATAACACACTTACCACACTCTCTGCAAGGGAACTGTCTCGAACCCGAAGATGACAAGTTGTTTCTGCCACGCGTCGTTTTTTTTAACCTGCAACAATGACAGACATTTTAAGAATTTATTATTTACTTTCCCCGAGGTAAGAAGAGGTTTTCAGGATTGTTTAGTGATAGATATATATAAGAGGTTTTCAGGATTATTTAGTGTACTGCCCATTTTTTTCATATTGTAAGCACTCTTACCCATTTTGCCTTCCAATATAGTCCAATTGGTTACTTACACCTTGTTTTACATATTTATCACATAAAATTATAGACATTCATTATTATTATCAATTCGCAAACTTTCTTTTGTATTGGTCAGGAAACATATATTCCAGTTTTGTTGGTTTGGGGTGCACTATGGTTTTTGCCATTTGGCGTGCGCTCATAGCTGCAGCGCGTCCGTGCAGCTCTCTGATGATGCCGCTGTGTGTGTTGTTAGGTGTGCGTGTATATACGTAGGCGGGGCAGCGTGCGTCCGCGGTCGGTCCGCGTGTCGCTCGGCGTGCGCTAGCAGCTGCAGCGCGTCCGTGCAGCTCTCTGATGATGCCGCTGTGTGTGTTGTTAGGTGTGCGTGTATATACCTAGGCGGGGCAGCGTGCGTCCGCGGTCGGTCCGCGTGTCGCTCGGCGTGCGCTAGCAGCTGCAGCGCGTCCGTGCAGCTCTCTGATGATGCCGCTGTGTGTGTGTGTGTTGTTAGGTGTGCGTGTATATACCTAGGCGGGGCAGCGTGCGTCCGTGGTCGGTCCGCGTGTCGCTCGGCGTGCGCTAGCAGCTGCAGCGCGTCCGTGCAGCTCTCTGATGATGCCGCTGTGTGTGTGTGTGTTGTTAGGTGTGCGTGTATATACCTAGGCGGGGCAGCGTGCGTCCGCGGTCGGTCCGCGTGTCGCTCGGCGTGCGCTAGCAGCTGCAGCGCGTCCGTGCAGCTCTCGCCGCAAACGTCGCACGTGTGCTCGCCCCACGTACTGCTGCTGCTGTCGTGCCTTTTATAACTGCCGGAAACAGTGACAATGTAATAATAATTGCTTATTTAGTTAGTGGTGCCGATTCTGGCATGATTCTCTTAATCTAAACCTAAATTTGACATGTATCCCTGTCATTCTCTATACACAATGAAAAGAAAAGAATGATGTTAAATTTAGTTTTAAGTTTAAAAAATCATATCAGAGACAACGTTAGGTTTAAACAAAGACTTACTTAAGTCCGCCTTTTGTAATAAGGCGGTAATAGTTATCCCTTACCTGTGAGCCGCGGCCACGTGCCGCCGCAACAGATCGGCGCGCTGGAACGCAACACCGCAGTCCTGGCAGAACAGCTCCGGCCCGCGCACGTTCTCGAACATACGCTCGACTACCGGCGGCGGCGACATCTGGTAGTCCATGTCGTCGTCTGAACAACAAACAGATTGGTTGATGTCTTTGCTATTCAGCAAAACAATGCCCATTGGTAAGCATTAAGACTGCATGAAAGCTCTCGACGCCGCTGTCCTAACAGAACAGCTCCGGCCCGCGCACAAACATACGCTCGGCCACCGGCAACGGCGACAGCTGGTAATCCATGTCGTCGTCTTAATAACAAGAGATTGCTCAGTATCATCGTCATTCAAAGCCGTTTTCACGGATCGTCAATCAATCTGTTGGATGGTCTATCTATTGAATATCGTCTAGTCTTGTTTAGTGTTATCAAAAATTTATAAACTTCCATATACGCAGATTTGTTTTTTTTTGCGAACATAATAATTTTGTTTTGTCTAACTTAAACATCGACCAATATTGCTGGCCGCTCTCTAGCGAAATAGAACTAGCTCCACTGACCTTCGTCCAAGTCCTGGAGGTCTACTCTAATTCAACGAAAAACAAAATTCCGATCGAAACTTCGCACTTTTCTTACTATGTTTCTTGTTCGTTTTTAATTATAATAATATTCGTCGTCTGAATATAAATTGAGGTGTAGATTTTCTAACCCTATACTCAAAGATAGCTTCAATTTGATGGTTTATCGTTCAAATTAAGTATAACCTTAAATTGACGAAATTAAGTTTCGTTTGAACTTTGTTTTCGAAAGTTCATTCCGGTGAAAGAGAGTAGACCCCGTCTCCTGCTGGCGCGAGCGTGGCGGCAAGTGCGGGTGTCGCTGCGCCGCATGCGACCAGCACAGCACGCCGCCCTCTAGCGACATGGAACTAGCCACACTGACCTTCGTCCGAGTCCTGGTAGGGCGTCTCCTGCTGGCGCGAGCGTGGCGGCAAGTGCGGGTGTCGCTGCGCCGCGTGCGACGCCAGAGACTCGCGCGACCAGCACAGCTCGCCGCATTCACCGCACTCCACTGGCGAATCGCCACCGTGAACCTACCCACGTGGAATATCAATAGTAAACAACATACTTTGCTCTACTCTATTCACGAAAACAACTATAAGAACTAGTGTTGCCCAAATGCAAGAACAAGACGAGACTTAGCCAGTCTTGGTCTTGGTCTTGCGTCAATACACCTGGTCTTGGTCTTGGTGTCGGTCTTGCGCTCCCAGTCTTGGTCTTGGTCTTGCAGCAAGAGTCTTGCAATATACACCGAACTGTTATACCTAACTACTCCGTGAAATAGCGCTAAGTCCTAGCTGCAAGACGCAAGAGTCTTGCCGGATTAGTCTTGTTCTTGCTCAAGTCTTGCACGGTCAGTCTTGGTCTTGGTCTTGCAAAAATGCAAGAACAAGACCACGACTGCAAGACCAAGACTGAATTTGGGCAACACTAATAAGAACTCACACCAATAAAGAAACGAATCGAAATGACGACGCAAGACATCTTACCCCTATTACATATCCAGTTGTTTTTTCGATTGTGTGATAAAAAAAGCGATTCATAAACACGTTTCCCTGTACAGAGTTTAGTTTCGATACTTGACTTACCCCCCCTATAAGCAATGGCATTACCACAATAAAAATGCATTTAAAATAGGAATCTTACGAAACACATCAGTTTTATAGCTTCTATTTAATTCGCCAAGGAATTTGAATATGATTTCAAGAGCCATTACCAAATAATTATATTGACAATATTCATTTTAAACCTAAACCAAAGACCCAGTCTTAATTCATTGACATGTAGACTCTCGCTTTTAAGATTGCTGTAATACGGTACCCTAGCGTGTGACTGCAGCGCTTTCTCCCTGGCGAACCCGACGCCACAGTGTCTGCAGACAAATGGCCGCGAGGGATCAGAAGGGGGCGGGGGCGGGGAGGGGGGAGACGGAGGGGAGGGGGGTGAAGGTGGGGTGGGCGGCGGCTTCGGTGAAGAACGCGCGCGTCGCGACCACTGCTGCGTCCGTGCTGACGTCATGTTCTCCCACATACCGTTCTAAGGAACAAAAGCAATGCATAAAAACTGCTCGCGGTATCAGTCTGCGTGAAGTTAAAGCTCAAAATACACTTGTTAAACAGTTAAGTACCGTAAGTGAGGGTTACTTTAGCTTGGGCGGGTAACTTTGTCCCAAATCAGAAAAAATATTGAACTTGCCGCCACATCAGTATCTCTTGGGTGACCGTAATAGTTCCAGTTGAAAAACACAGATAGCCATATAGGCGCGTAGTGTGGTGTTGTTTTACCGACATCGTTCCTGTATCAAATTGTCATTGTAACGCGGGATTTTTTGTAACTGAAATAGTTCGCAAGTTCATGCGCAAACTTTCTCAAAACTGTGGTTTTCGGTAAGTTTACAATTTTTTCTTTAACTTAATTATTTTTGGGTAAAAACATCCATTTGTGTATACAGTATGCTAATGGTGATGTGTTATAAGGGTTACTTAACCTCAACATGGCTTAAAATGAGTTTTTTTTCACAGAGAAAACTCAACGAGCTAAAGTAACCCTCTTTAAGGCCAACTTTGGCACAAAATTAAAAAAAATATTTATGAACCCTTAAATATTTTTTTTTCCTATATTCGTATGATAACTTTGTAACTTATACTTTAAAGTTCACAATGGAAAGATATAAACGTGACATATTCATCACAAAGAGAAGCTACAATTTTATTTGAAAAAAAAAGTGCACATTTTAGGTCAAAGTAACCCGCAGTTACTCGGTATCTAATATATTTTACACCACAGGTAAACATCAGGTTCGCTCAAATTTAAAAGTGTTCAATCATATTTAAAATAAAATATAAAAAAAATCTTAAGAAATATTTTGCATTTAATGTTAGTAATTCCGCGCCGATGGTATATATAAATTGATGTATAATGTACACAACGCTTTTTTTGATGCACTCTTGTTAGGCGATCGAAAGTACTTTTTTAAAGTAAATACTTTGTGCATTTGCACCACATGATATTAAATACAGAGACTCAGTCCCACGACATTACTGCGCTTCTAAAAGGAACTGGGCTGGCTGTGCTAGCTAGCCCCATCAACCCTGGACGCACAATGGACCAAGTACGGAGTCTGTGTAAGGAAAAGCGGGCTCACAATAAGTAACAAGTAAATACAGAGAGTCAATTCTACTACAGACATTGAAATTAGAATAGATGTGTATATTATTAGAGAAACTCATCATAAGTGCGCGTTTTTTGGGATTTGGGACTGTTTTACTAGAAAAATGGTATTTAGGAGAGAAAATGTAGTTATTCTTACCTCTACTGGTTCTGGATTCTTTTTTCGCCTCCCTCTCTTTTTCTTTGGTTTGATTACTTGATTATTATCTAAAATTTCTGTGAAAGATGATGCTTTTATATTTAAAACGCTAGAGATAGTGATCAAATATAAATTACTATAGTAACATTATATCATTAACTAGCTTCACCTTACATGGACTTTTGTCTAATATAAAAAAAAAGCAGAGCAGCACGGGCGCAGCTAGGACAAGAGAAGCCAAACATATAAAATGTATAATATTTCATTGCTTTTAAGTCAGTGTCGAAATAACAGTTTTATTTTTTTATGTATGTATGCAGAACAGTACTTTCGTGCACATCCTCACCTAAAAAATTTACAGAATTAGCCTCCTTGTATCCTAGGTAGATTTTAATCACTTTTCCTGTTAGCACAAATCTATTCAGCTATATCAATATGATCAAACACTCATTAATATTTTGTAAGGCTAAATTTAGTGCTCGACAGACGCATCGGGGCTGATGGTACGACCTGACCATCAGCGCCAACCGACGATAGTGAAAATGCATTTAGTGCTACGCTGACGACCAACTGGGACGCGTCAGTTCACAAGTTAACCATTTCTGTCAGTGCGACGTAGCTGTATGCGCGCAGTAGATCATCAGGGCAGCAGTATGCGCATTCATTCCGTCCGATGTTAGTGCCGACAGTCGGAGCACTGTTTCCAGCCTATAATTACTGAACCCGACTAGAAAAACTTACCATAGTCAACGGCGTCGTGATTATCAGGCACAAAGGCGTGAACCTTAAGGTGGTTCATGAGATCACACTTGCGCACATAGCGGACACCACACAAATTGCAAGCATGCGGCCGATCGTTCTGATGCGCAACCATATGATTCATAAGAGCTGCTTTCTTGCGGAACCGGCGTGAACAGAAATCACAAGGCCATGGTCGCATTGCAGTGTATTCATCCTAAGAATAAAAAAAATTAATAGCGCCATTAATAATTTCGAGAATGTATTATCCTAAACTTATTATTTATTATTTAATTAAATAGGACCTGCCCTCCTAATATGAGCACAGCGATATGATAATATAGCTCGTTTTAAACACGCTCAATTGTCAAATAATTATGGAGTTTGACAGTTAGACGTGATAAAAACGTGATTTAATGTAAATTGTGTTGCTCATGCTACAGAGACAGGGTATCTTTTTTTCCTTCCGCCGACTTTTTCATTACGTATTGAACGTGTGATTTAAATAATATTGTAATAAAAAAAATGCGTGCGTGTCGTGGAACACTCGGTTGGAACGAAGTTAATAGTAGATTGCTTACTAAGGGAGAAAATGCGTTTTTTGAATCCAGTCTCCATAGCATGAGCGCCACAAAATAAATTATATCACGTCTAACTTACTATCAAACTCTATAGTAATTTGCCAATTGAGCGCGATAAAAACGTATAATCACACTAATATTATAAAGGCGAAAGTTTGTAAGTGTGTGAGTGTGTATGTTTGTTACTTCTACAAGTCTAAACGGCTGGAGCGATTTTAATTCAATTTGGTATGGAGTTAGCTGACACCCTGGATTAATACTTAGGCTACGTTTTACTGCGGAAAATATCCTGCGCTGGTAAAACAGTAGGGCATAGCTAGTATATCATATCTTAGTGCTCATGCTACGGGAGCAAAACAGGATTTTGTAGATAAAAGATCACATTTCTAGCATACTTCATTCGCACTACACGAGTAGACACTCATTGAACGAAGGCGAAGGCCTATTTTTTTTTAATCCGACCTCCGTAGTTGGGTACTGGTATATGCGCCGGGTTTCAAGGTGTTGCCTACTCAGAGCTATTCCTCCTACAAACGCTACTAGAGGTAGGTCTCTAGTAGCGTCCGTAGGAGGAGACATCAAAGGACTACAAAGCTTCTTGGGCGAGTTGGGATGGTGGTGGGACTGAAGCCATCCAAAATAAGTATCAAGTGACGAGTTCCGGAAATACCCGCCGTGAAGACGAAAATGTATACTAAGCACATATAAGAACATAACCTATTTAATTATACTGGAAGCAGGTATACTAGCAGACGAAACTGTAATCAAATTAATAGCCTGGATAGCAATATTCGTAACCCTAAGTCCAGAAATACTGAACATTCACCCAAAATTTTATCACTTAGTTTATCCCCTTGGAGGATGAATAAAAAAATACCGGCTAAGTGCGAGTCGGACTCGCGCACCTAGGGTTCCGTACAAACTCAATTTAATACCTCTATGCGCTCATGAGAAAAGAGGTAGTAACTTTAAAATTTTCTAAAATATTTTTTTATTATATGATGTAACTAAAAATTTACGGTTTTCGCAATTTTTCCTTTATCTGTACTATAAGACGTTACTTCGTACGCAATTTCCCGTTTCCCGTGAGAGTTTCGAAAATTTGCGGCATAAACGGCTGTATCTTTTGATTGCTTTGGCTTAGAAGTTTGATTTTTTCACAGCTCCAAGGGACAGTAGACATGAGTATTAGATATGAATTTCAGTTTGATACCTCCACGCGTTCCTGAGAAAAACGGTCTTGACAGATGGACGGACAACAAAGTGATTCTATATGGATTCCGTTTTTTTCTTTTGAGGTATGGAACCCTAAAAAGGAAAAGTGCGTATCACTACAGCTCAATTTGGAGTTCTGTATAGGGAAATTTTCTTTTAAATTTCGTTATATCTATTACTACCTTGGAATGACAACACTCTGACAATAACTCTTAACAAATCATTGCAATTCAATTCCTTATATTTTACAGACCCCATGAAGAAACGTTTTTTTGTCTTGGTTTTATTTTACCACTCATTTAGCATCACTAATATAGGCATATTTGTCAAACCAAGTTACAACAGAGTACTAAGGTAGTTGAAATTAATTTGGACATGATAGCACTGAGCTATGTTGTGGACAGATGGACATAGTGAAAATATAAACTTAAGAAAAATTATTAGAAATAATTATATTAAAACAATTGTTAAGAATTCCTTGTTGACCCTGAACTCTAAAAATAAATTAAGATTATTTAATTAATTATATATACATGATTAACAAATAATTTTGATATGTGGGATTAACTCTAATTGTATGAATTAATAAAAAATATTTATATATCCTATTGCAAGCAGCAGTCTTCACATTAAGTAATTAAATATTGTAATTAAGCACTTTATTGTAAATGTTTTTTCTCTACTTATGTGAAGAAATAAATAAAAAATTTATTATTTATTTCAACTATATTGAACCTAAAACTAAAAACCTTAAAAATATAATATAATAACTAAAATTAACATTATGTACAAGAATAATATACAAATACTAATAATATTCAAATATCACCCCGTATCGTTTCTGGCGCAAAGGTGCCCATTATGCTTGCAGCATTGCCACGCTGGATGGCAATAGACAATCTTTGTGCCAGAAACGACCCGGAGCGAGGGTCATTAGTTTTTTGCCTGAGTCGGCGGCCCAGGTCCCACACAAATTGCTTGGCCTCTGCGCTCCAACAACCCGCCGTTTCCACCGCCAAAGGCACGAAAATATATCCTTGCCCCAACGAGGAATATTTTAAGCGCTTCGCCGTTGCCTGATACTCAGGCAACAATTATATAAATATAAAGAAAATGTACTAGAAAAAAGAACAACCACTCTGTCCCAGTTTCAGATGGGACTGAGTGGAATTATTTGTAGCAATTTTTCTTTAGTCATACATATAACAGTCAAATGCTTAAAAATTATAATAATATTTTAATTGTTGTTTAATTTCCTGATGAATTCATTTACTTTGTTAAATTCACACATTTCAAAATTCTTATATTCTTGATTTTCATTACAAGTGTTCTAGTGTTTATCATAATTGTTTTTTAAATATAAAAAGCTGTGTGATATCTTTGCCATCATTATTATCACAAATAGACAAAAAGTTATTTTTGTAATAAACGAGTTAATACAGCTTACCTGATCTGTTGGTAAGGGAACATCAAGTTCATTTTCCTCCTTGATATCTGGAACAGGCATTGCTAATTGGTCTAATTGTACCTCCACCCTTAAAAAAAAAACATTGTTATCCCCACATTTTTGAATTGATAGATGTATAAGTAATTTCTGTGTGTTCAGTTCTGATACCTCTCTTGACCATCAGGTATGACCCAATCATCTGTGATGACTTCTTCAGTGACACACTCTACATTAGGATCATCAGCTAGCTCGGCAGTTTCTGTGTAACTCACTACATCTTGGGCCAAGTACATCAAATTCTCTGCTGCCATTTGATCTGTATCAGCTATCATCTCTTCAGATGCCTTAAAAAATATACAAATAGCAATGAGCAAAATTACTATGAATCATGCAAAGAATAATTTCTTAAAACTTCATTAAAAGTTAAGCATGAGACAGAGTTTAACTATAATGAAAAAATTCTTAATATTTAACAATAAACTAAACTAACTGAACTACAGAATTCAAAATTTCACTAGAAAAACTAAATGCAATTATGATAGGTAGCATAATCCTTAACTTTAGTATATATGATTTTTTGCTGTATCACTGATAATATTTACTTACTGTATTATCATATGATGAACCTTGAGCTTCAAGGCTACACATTACTTCTTCTGATTCCACTACAGCACCAGGGCTGTGCTGTAGAAAAAAAGGAAGTGGAGTCAATAATTAAGTATTCCTGCATCACTTTAACAATGCAAGCTATTGAATATACAGGGAACTATAAAACCTGATTACCTACCTTTATTTCTACTTCCTCCCATTGGAGGTTGAACTCCTCTCCTTCCATTATGAATTATTTAGCGATGATACCCATTTCTCTGAAAATTTCATATAATGCAGCAATTTGACTTGATAATTGGGGAACACTGACCAATTTCATTTAAATTCAGGTCTGATAAAAAATAATACAAATATAAAATAAGCAACTATTTTACTTAATATTCACCCTTATTAATTAGCTTAGTATGTATTTCTATAAAACTAAGGATGTCAATGCCCAAGAATGATCTCCATTAAATTCTACATGAACATTTATGAACCAAAACATCAACATAACCTTACTAAGGTTTTACTATTTATAGTTATCAGATATTTTCTTACTTTTTACTTTGTTTCACACTTGATAACATTCTTCACGTCAACTGCTCTAAGGAGCTAGCTATAAAATAAAGCTTGAAAGACGAATCAAAAATGGTGTCGAAAGAAAAATCTTAGGTTATTCAACTGTCAAAAAGGTTAAGATAAACAAACGCAAAGAAAACGGTTATGTGGTGAAAAGTTTTACATTACCTTTGATAAAATAAAGGAAAATTTAACTATTCTGATTATTTTTAGGAATCCTTTCTGTGTGTATCCCTTTACATGACGCAATCATTCAACATCGATACTTCAACATGGATGAAAACAAAAATATAACCAGTGTGTAAAAAATTACAACACGTATTAACCACTAAATAATTACAGGTGGCCACATAATTATTAAAACTAGTAACTGCACAGCAAAATCCGAAAATATTGAATTGTTTGGTTATCGGACAAATGGCTAACTTCCATTTTCCAATCCATTCAATCATAGACTAAAGAAAGAAAACCTTATGCATCCACTACACTGGACTACAGTGCTGCCAACCCAAATTTTAGAAAATTAGTAGATTATGTGCCAAATGTTGGTAGAAGTTGGTAGAATGTAAAATGCAAAGTTGGTAGATCTACCACCTCAATTTAGAAGATTTTTTAAGATTAAAAATGCAATCAATGCAATGCAGAGCACACTTCAGATCACACCTACATGGTTTGCAATAAAAATATCCGTCACCCTCAGTAATTTCTTGATGCCAACCTGCAAATTCCATGCCTTTCTCCCATAATTTCGAATATTTTTCATACCTTTTTCTAGGTTTTCGTTTCGGAGTTCCTAACGTAGAACTATGTGCATCGCTTTCGCTGCTGTCAGAATCCATTATATAAATAAATGCACGCAACATAGAACAAACAGCAATCAGCACCGTTAATGCGCAGTTATTTAGTTTTTACAATAAAACAGGAGCAAAGATTCAACATTGATTACGCAACAAACCAACCGGGAATAGGCCACAGTAGGAATAGTAAAATATGGGCGCGAAATTGTGCAAACGTCGAACTCATGACGAACTGTTGCTGACGTTTTTTTTTGTGGTTTATGGCCTGGACTCTGTGTATGCTTGACGCATCGTTGCGTGGCTCACGCAATACATCGCAACGTCGCTCGTCGATATAAAAATAATTCAAAGTGGTGATATGTCAAACTAATTAAAAAAATAGGTAGTTTTTAGGTCTAGGGTGGTAGATAGGTAGACTGAAGTGAAAATTGGTAGATCTACCAAAAAGTTGGTAGATATGACAGCACTGCTGGACTATTTAAGACCATCATTGGTGTCAATTCTGACACGATTTTCTAAACCTAATACCTCGTTTACATTATGCCCATGCCGCTGCCCCTCGCGTTGCCGGCAATAATTCCCTAAATATTGCTGCGGCATGATTGAGAGAAGTATATGTTTACATACTGCCCTACCTCTCACTTCGCTTCAGAGTTTCGGCAATGGCAGACGTCGAAGTAATTACAGCGGCCGCGCTGTGTCTTTTTGCAATCCATAATTATGTTCGAAATTTAAATAATTAATAACTTTAATATAAATAAATTAATAAATATTAATTATTAATAAATATTTAATTAATTAATGAGGAGCTCGATGGCGCAGGTGGTTAGCGCGTTCGGCTGCGATCGTTGTAGTTAAGCAACTTTCGCAGTGGTCGGTCATTGGATGGGTGACCAAAAATTTCTATGTCAAGATCCTCCGTGCTTCGGAAGGCACGTTAAGCCGTTGGTACCGGTTGCATCTGCAATCGTTAGAACCCGCCAATCCGCACTGGGCCCGTGTGGTGGGTCATGGCCCAATCTCCCTATTCCATCCATAGGGAAGGCCTGTGCCCCAACAGTGGGGACATAAAGAGGCTGATGATGATGATGATGATAATAATAATCTAATAATAATCATCTTTGAGAACGGCACCATGAGTATGTTTGCTGATGATACTGTCCTCATGTTTCATAATTCTAGTTGGCAAACAGTCACTGAATCAGCTGAAAAGGGACTAAAACAAGTCACGAAATGGCTTGAGGACAGTATTTTATCAATAAACATAACAAAAACCAAATATATGTGTTTTAGTAAAACTGCTGTCGGAAGCCCTAACAATGGTATCAATTCTGACATGATTCTCTAAACCTAAACTTAAATTTGACAACAGTGTATCCTTGTTATTCTCTATACAGAATGAAAAGGAGAGACTGATGTTAAATTTAGATTTAAGTTTAGAGAATCACGCCAGAATTGGCACCAATGACCATAAACTAAGAATTCATACTTATCCATGTAACAGAGGTGAAGGAGGGAATTGTAAATGTCTTTACCTGTCTAAAGTTAACAATGGTGTCGATTCTGGCGTGATTCTCTAAACTTAAAACTAAATTTAACATCAGTCTCTCTTTTTCATTCTGTATAGAGAATGACAAGGAAACACTGTTGTCAAGTTTAAGTTTAGATTTAGAGAATCGACACCAATATTAAGTACTTGGGAGTAGTTATTGACGACAGATTGAGTTGGTTAGATCATATTAAATTACTACAACTAAGGATAAGAAAACTTATTTACGTATTTAAAAATCTTAGGAATGTTGCCAATCTGCAGCTCCTAAAACAAATTTATCAAGCCTTGTGTGAGAGTATAATTAGATATTGCATACTAGTGTGGGGTGGTGCAGCAAAAACTCACCTAATTATGGCAGAACGAGCACAACGATCAATTTTAAAAGTAGTCATGTTTCTCCCTTACAGACATCCTACAACAGACATTTACAAATTATTCAAAGTACTTTCTGTAAGAAAACTTTATATTTTTGAAAGTATTCGCAGATACCACCTTTATGTTATCCCACAGCTACCTAATGATCTTACTAGGAGGGATCGCTGTCATATCCCCTCAGTCAAAAGTCAATTTGCACGTCGTCAATATACATATATGGCACCACGACTTTACAACAAATTAAATAACATTAAAAAGATAAAAAAGTTTAGTAATTTTAGCTTAAAAAAAAATTATTAATGATTGGCTGTTCGACATAGATTATGATGGTGTGGAGGATCTACTGATTGACAACACCCGGATATAGGAAGTATAGCACAGTGTTTATAAATTATTACTTGATATTTATGTGGTTTAAGACAAGACGCATCTACATACACACGCAACACCCAGGCACACACACACACACACACACACACATACACACACACACGCACACACACACACGCACACATACACACACGCAAGCACACCTACACCCACACTCACTATACACACACATATAATTTAGTTATTTTTTCTATTTATCTTTACTGTGAAGAAAAATAGTAATGTTTTGTTATGCCCAGTACAACTGCTAAGATTATATTGTAAGTACATAATTGGAGAGGACACTGGATTCCATACTACAGGCTAAGGCCTATTTTGGAATACAGGGGAATCAAACATAAATTGTAAAAAGTATAATGTCAATAAACATTATTATTATTATTTATTTTCGGATAACAAGGATCCATAGTAATGATTTAATTAATTAATAATTTGTAATTTCACGTCTTTCTCCACCAAGCACACAGCGCGATCTAAGTGACGCGCAAAATGTGAACACGCATTGCCACTCGCGCTGCCGGTCCTTTGACTTCCGCACAAAAAACCGCTCTTTTGGGGAGCGCCGGGCAGCGCGAGTGGCAATAACAGTGGCATGACGAGTATCGTGTATACATACTCGTCATGCCCACTTCCCTTCTTACTCGCGCCGCATGTAAACGAGGTATAAGAGTTTTTGGCGGGAGGCGAGTGCGGTTGGCGTCTTATTTTAATTATTCTTAAATTTGTTCATAGTGGATATTGTGAAATAAAATTGGTGTGATTTTGTGTTACAACCGTCTGCGCAACTGAAGAATTAGTGGAATCTATAAAATATACGCTATTCCGGTCAAGTGGACGTGAGAATTTTATTGTAGTATTGACACCTCACAGAAGCTTAATGAAAAAGCCAACTCGATATAATATTTCGTGCCAAACACTCCAAGAAGCATTGGAATGCGTCACACCGACATTCTTATGTACAAAAAACTGAAGACTAGGCTGTATGGTCATTGTTTCCTTGGCCTTCTCTTAAAAGGAAGAACGTTAAAAAAAAACGTCCCAACTTCTATGGAATTTTGTCATCAATCTTGATTGAGATTCACTATAAAATAAATGTAGTCAGGTGTAGTCTGAACTTACCATAAGGGTATGGGTGCGGCCAGAGTGCACTCAGATTCAGAGTCAGATTCAGATTCTGAAAACAAGCGCGAGAAATAAACAGTGTAGTTGAAGGGTACGGCCAGATTGCACTCCTGATTCAGATTCAGATTCAGACTCAGAAAACAAAGCGCGAGAAAAAGCAAGCAACCTGCTTAGACTACACTGTTTATTTCTCGCGCTTGTTTTCGAAATCTGAATCTGAGTCTGAATCTGAGTGCACTCTGGCCGCACCCTATGGCCAGAGTGCACTCAGATTCAGATTCAGACTCAGAAAACAAGCGCGAAAAATAAACAGTGTAGTTAAAGCAGGCTGGCCATAGCGGCCGCAGGCAACCTGCTTAAACTACACTGTATATTTCTCGCGCTTGTTTTCTGAGTCTGAATCGCCTCGAATCGGTCGCACTCTGGCCGTACCCTAAGACAGACACACGTGGACAAACGTCAGTCAGGAGTAGGGATGCCAGGAGTACAAAAAATATCGATACTGATGTCGATTCTGGCATGATTCTCTAAACCTAAACTTAAATTTGACAACAGTGCATCCTTCACTATGCAGAATGACAAGGAGAGGCTGATGTTAAATTTAGTTTTAAGTTTAAAGAATCACGCCAGAATCGATACCATTATCTTATTTAAAAAAAATGCTAGAGTGTGCCAACAGGAGTGCACAAAGGAAGTGAACAAACATTTGACAAAAAAATGAAAAGGTTAAAACTCCCTTGGTAGAATAATGTTTGTGCACAAGCAGTATTTAATTGTAAAATATCTTACTTAGAATTTAAACGCAACCCAACTGAGCGAAATTACATCATATTTAAACATAAACAAGCATAAAAAAATACTATAAACACGGAAAGATGGAAGGTGTGGTCAGAGTTATGCAAGTCTTTCAATCGTCCAACCCCTCAATGATGGCTAACATTAAAAAATTTAATAACTCATATAGTGCTAAAGTTTTTTAGCTATTTACGAATTTATAAACTCGACACTTGGAGAACTATATTGAAATAACCTCGGACTTGACTATCAATACACAATATTATGATTATGACTTTATATGACCACTCTCATTAAGGACAAAAGATTTGATTATTTACAAATGAAAATACAAAAATAATTTACTGAAGATTTAGCTTATTGCCTCTAAACAAAAACAAAATAACAAATTTTGGCATTGTCTAAAAACTAATATATGACAACTAGAATTATGTACATAAGACTTGGCAGTATGGCTTAGTACCTTCACCTGTCCCAATCCAATAAACGTACTAAGAGTTTTGGCGGGATTTTGTCAAGTGCGCGGTTAGCGTCTTATTTTAATTATTCTTAATTTCATTCATAGTGGATATTGTGAAATACAGTTGGTGTGATTTTGTGTTACAACCGTCTGCGCAACTGAAGAATTAGTGGAATCTTTAAAACATATGCTATTCCAGTCAAGTGGACGTGAGAACTTTACTGTAGTGTTGACTACCTCACAGAAGCTTATCGAAAAAGCCAACTCGATATATTTCGTGCCAAACACTACATGAAGCATTAGAATGCGTCACACCGACATTCTTATGTACAAAAAACTGAAGACTAGGCTGTATGGTCATTGTTTCCTTTGCCTTCTCTTAAAAGGAAGAACGTTAAAAAAACGTCCCAACTTCTATGGAATTTGGTCATCAATCTTGATTGAGATTGACTTTAAAATAAATGTAGTCAGGTGTAGTCTGAACTTACCTTAAGGGTACTGCCAGAGTGCACTCAGATTCAGATTCAGACTCAGAAAACAAGCGCGAGAAATAAACAGTGTAGTTTAAGCAGGGTGGCCATAGTGGCAGCAGGCAACCTGCTTAAACTACACTGTATGGGTACGGCCAGAGTGCACTCAGATTCAGATTCTGAAAACAAGCGCGAGAAATAAACAGTGTAGTCTAAGCAGGTTGCCTGCTTTTTCTCGCGCTTTGTTTTCTGAGTCTGAATCTGAATCAGGAGTGCACTCTGGCCGTACCCTTCGACTACACTGTTTATTTCTCGCGCTTGTTTTCGGAATCTGAATCTGAATCTGAGTGCACTCTGGCCGCACCCTAAGACAGACACAAGTGGACAAACGTCAGTCAGGAGTAGGGATGCCAGGTGTACAAAAAATATCGATATCTTAATGGCGACTTTAGATCGAAAGATATTGATATATAAGTGGAGAACACCGATATATCGATTTTTTTTCATTTTAAATGTGTATTTATTTAATCATATGTAGCACGAAAATTTCGAATATTTTATTGAGAATTCATTCTTTTGCAATCTTTACTGTTTATACTATTCATCATCATCAGCCTATTGATGTTCCCACTGCAGGGGCACAGGCCTTCCCTACGAATGTAATAGGGAGTTTTTGGGGCATGACCCACCACGCGGGCCTAGTGCGGATTGGTGGGTGCTAACGACAGCAGATGCAGCCGGGACCAACGGCTTACCGTGCCTTCCGAAGCACGGAGGAGCTCGAGATAGTAAATTTTTGGTCACCCATCGAATGACCAACCACTGCGAAAGTTGCTTTACTTCAACGATCGCAGCCGAACGCGCTAGCCACTTGCGCCATCCAGCTCTTAGAGTTTATACTATTATTATTATCTATTACTACTAATTTTGTTTATAAAATTTTTAAGTTTCTAAGGTACTCAGAATTTGTAGTGATAAAGTAAAATTTTAAACTTAGGATAGTCATCATTTTTTCAGAGTCATTTCAGAGTTGTTTCAACATTCAGAGGATTTAAATATTAGTGAGTCGAGTTGAGTCCTCGGCTGATAGCCGCTGTGAAAGGCCGAGCTCTCGCGAGTGTTCTCACCCAAACCTTTTACGTAGCTCTCTGCCTTACGGCCGTTAACGTGTGTGTTAGTGTCTCGCACGACTGGACGCCTCATTGCCTTGTACAATTGCTCGACCAGAATTCTTGAGCTCCAATACCGTATAGCTTCGGTGGCTTACGCTTTCAATTCAAATTTGCTATGCATATGAGAATACCGAATACACTTGCAGTTTAATTAATATTTAAAATTGCTTGTAGTTGCTTATTTGCCACACTTTTTTGTGACTTGTTACAAAGTGATCACAGAAAATTATTATAATGCCATTTCAACGTTCGCCAACATCGTCCACGATTACACATTTATGTGTAATCTTTCTATCTCCACTGCTACTTTTCCTAAAGTATTGAAACGAGCTCTTGTCAGTCCCATTTATAAGCAAGGGAACAAAAGTGAAAATGCCATCATATTCAAAATTATTTGAATTTTGGCTGATTCTGAAATCATTAAATCGGTGTATCTCACTTTGTGTCAGTCGGTCTTTTCGTATTGTATTCCAATATTGAGGGGAGCTGAAGGAACTGTGATGCTGAATCTGGCCAATTGGCAAAGCAAAACACACAAGCCAATTCGACACCCCACAAACTAGCTAACTCTGAATGCCAGGTTTTGACGGTACAGCAACTGTACATTCTTGAATACATACTACGCTTCTCTTCCATTAGATATAAATGCACTTTCATGGCGACGCACCACAGTCTATGTATGTCCTAAGGTATAAAACAGTTTTCGCGGCACATCAATATGATGTTCTCTCTTCAACCTTGTCCAATAAGATGCATAAGTTTATTTTCATTTATACCCAAAATAGGTATGAAGTGAAAAATAGCACCTCTGCCAATCTTTTGATGCAAAGCTATTCAGATACTGAAAATCTATTAAAATTAAAATAAGGAACAGTTACGTATAATAGGAAACAAACAGACAAACACACACCAATACAATCAAACATACATAAACACACCACCAATATAACTCACCCATACATATACGACTTAATTAGACTAATGATGATTATTATTATTATTTGTCTTAATATATTTGGAGTTTACTCCTTAAGAATCGATTTGCATATATAAGGGGCCCGGTATGAGAAAAATGTGAGGAGTTAAATCTATCGATGAATGACCTCGTTACTCTCTAAAATGACTCTTAAATCCGAGAGCTTAGGTGCAAAAGAATTAAATTGAAACTACGGTGTATTTTGTTAGACCATAGATTTCTTTATTAGTTAGGTCACGTTTTGCCAAAACAACACCCAACTAATAACAAACTGAGATTTGTCCTTACAAATAGTTAACTTAACAACATACTCTGTTATCGCCCACCATGACTTAAGGTAACAAAACAAATAAAAACACTAAGATGTACAATAACTTAAAATAATATATTTAATTATGCACATCTGAAATTGACTATTGTAAAAAGTTTAATGTAAAATATTTCGTCGATTAGTTATAATAAATATATATGAAATGAATAAATATATATTTATATATGTATATTATTTTCATTAATTTGTTAATTTACCCTTTCATACAGTGGTGTCAATTCTGGCGTGATTCTCTAAACTTAAAACTAAATTTAAGGTCAGTCTCACCTTTTCGTTCTGTATAGAGTAGGACAAGGATGCACTGTTGTCAAATTTAAGTTTAGCTTTAGAGAATCATGCCAGAATCGACATCAATATCAATCTTTTTTAAGTTAAATAAACTCTTTTTGCGTCTGTTTAGACTATCGAACTTAAGGAGTAAACTCCAGTCGTGCGTGGGAGCTGACACACACAATTTTTTTTATAATAAGGGTTGCAGCCAAGTTGCTATTGTTGTTGAGGCAGTATCTTTAGTTACGATTCTTCTTATGAAAAGTTCCGTAATAGTCTATTCACATAATCCATGCATAATCCACGTTTAAGACTGAGCGGATTTCTAACTATGAGCAGGCTCCTGTTGTAGTGTCTTTCGATATAGATAATACGCGATTTTAATTATTGTGGGATATATCGCTATTTATAGATTACCAGATTTATCGTTGCTTACATTGCATCAATCCCATCCTTATTTTAAGTGTCATATACGTAGTATCTCTAACTAGTCTGTGGTGTCATATTTTTGGCCGAAATGGAGAAATTCACGGCCGTAAAACTTATTAAAAAAATGACATATTTTTGTGTGATTTTGTAATAATTTGATGAATTTATGATGTCTAAGATATCAAAGAGATTATCTTTTTCGTCAGATCATTGTTGACGAGAAAGGTTTCAAATTATAATAGGAATTACTGCTGTTGTACCACTTACCAAACATGGCTCAAGAGCTGAGAGAACTTTGTCACCTGTTGTTCCCAGATGATGCAGCAGGTAAATAGTACACCTATACATACTTTTAATTAAAATCTCTACCCGTCGGTCTGTAACTAATTTCTCCTTATAGGTTTTAAACTTTTTTGTGATATTTTCATGTGAGGTTTACTTGTTTTCCACTACCTAGTCAATAGTAAATATAGTTGGCTTGGCTCTAGAGTAAATATAGTTAAAATCTTTACTAAACTAAAATAGATATTGAATGAATGACACTTAATTTAATAATGAATTACAGACCAAATTGAATACTTCAGTGAAATTTCGGACTACATCAAAAAGTTGGGATCACAGAATTGGGAGTATGTACGAAATGAGCCTGAACGGCTGACTGAAGAGATGAGGCATTTGACAGAGCAAACTCAAGAATTAGCATTTACCAATTATAAAACTTTTGTTGAGACTGCAGAGATATCTAAAACTATTATGAAAGATCTTGTTAAGTCTAAAGATTCAGTAGCAACATTTCTTGATACAACACCATTGTTTATTCAAGAATGTGAAAAGTTTTCTCAAATGGCTACAAATATTGTAAAGGATAAGAGGTAAAAGAGAAACATCAGTTCTTGAGAAGCTCATATCTAGTTTTTCAATGTAATTGTTAAATCAAAACAAAACACTCCTCCCTTTTCTGGTTTACATTAAGTTTGATTATTTTCTTTTTCAGCCGATACAGTACAATACGTAGCCAAAGTGAGAAGCTACTAGAACTATTGGAATTACCTTCCTTAATGAGAGAAGCTCTTAACGCTGAAGACTATGAGAGTGCTTTAGATATTTTTACTTTTATACGGAATATCTCTAAAAGATATTCTGATATTCCTATTGTTCAGGTAGGTAGATATATCGAATGTTTAATATTAATAAACTTCATACTGTCCTTTTAGATTATATGACTTCATTAGCTAAGACAAGTGCACTGACTTTAACATTTGCAATCTCTTTTAGTCTTGACCCAACCTCGAATGTAATGAAGGTCAGGTCAACATAGAATACAAGGAATTAAACAAATATAAATAAAATTTGTTGTTTTCAGAATACTACCACGGAAATAATAACACTATGGTTTGAGACTCTGTACCACCTATTCAATCAGTTACGTTATGATCTTCCTCTACCACAGTGTTTACAGGTAAGTCATTCTTATTTAAAGGACTACACTGTATGAACAAAACAGGAAGGTAAAAATATCCCTTGCCATTCATGCCAGTTCTTAGCACAAGCGTTTGACTTTCAAAAGAGCTTGTAACAGCATAGACTGACTAAAAGAGTTTAATTTCATACATTTTCTTGCACAGATATTTACACTGTATGAAATTGAATTGAGTTTACAATATGTATGCTGTATCTCTTTAAAAACAAGTGAAGGACTAACTTAAGGTCAATTTTGTTAATTGCTTTTTAGAGACCTTTATGTAATTTTAACAAGTCCCAAAATGGCAGTTTCCATCTTTATAAATAGATGAGCTATGAATTTTTAAAAACCCCTTTTGGCTCTGGAATTAATTTGAGCAGATGTTAGTGTGATGAATACGAGCATTTGTACTTCAGTCATGGCTGTTTAATATGTATTTCTATATATTATATATTTAAAAAATTGAATGTAGAACGTAAAACAATAAAATAATTCAATCATTATTCCGTATAAAAAGACATGCAATCCAAGCTGAAACTCATTCAGAAATCTGACTAAGTCAATATTATTGAATTTAAAAAATTTTTTGACGGAAAGTTGTGATTTGAAAAATGCCAGAGGATTATCAGATGTGTTACGATCCAGAATTGTAACTTTGAGGGAAAAGGCTCTTCTAGAGAAATAACATGCAGAGTTGCCAAATCCCAATCCTGTGTAGTGACCACTTTGCAGAGGTACCACAGCACACTGACCTGAAAAAAAGACGAACGTAACGTCAAACTAAAACGATGTGAAGTATGCAAGGTCCTACAATTTCGTTTGTTGTACACTATTTGCACTCACACAAATGCACCAGGTCAGACAAACCGCTGCCATTTGACTCCGCGTGACAGTGTCAGACACACGTTCAATTGCTCCTACAAAATTTTTAAAATATGCCTTTTTGTGTGATGAGATCATGTAATAAACCTAACAAGCCACAAGTAATCACCTACCATGCGTAAGAAATGACAAATCGTGATAATTTTTGAAAATTATATTTTATTTAATGTAATGGAAATTCTAAGCAAAAAATACAATGTGTGGTTACTTTTTTTATGACAACATTTTCCTAAAAGTAGGGAAATTTGTATTACATGCATTTGTGACTCGAGAAGACAAGATTTCGAAACTTTTTAAGGTTCCATATTACAAACGGAAATAAAACAGAACCCATATTATTCATATAAAATTGCTCGTGCCTCCTTTTTATGATAACTGGGTTTTTTTATTTATTTGATACTGCAGATGAGAATACAATTGGAACCCGTCAACTGCCAGTACTGTGGGCAGTGCACATTTTGTTGATGTAGATTTTATTATTACACCTAAGGCAACGTTGTTTGGTTCCGTACGCAATCTGCGCGATTTATCTTATATATAAAATTATCGTGTCACCATGTTAGTTACCGTACTCTTCCGAAACGGCCTGACCGATTTTTATGAAATTTTATATGCATATTCCGTGGGTCTGAGAATCGGCTACTATCTATTTTTCATATCCTTAAGTGATAATCCTTAAGTGGTTGTCCACCTGTAACGTAGTGTTCTGAAACCTTAGGGTACGGCCACAGTGCACGCAGATTCAGATTCAGACTCAGAAAACAAGCGCGAGAAATAAACAGTGTAGTTAAAGCAGGGTGGCCATAGTGGCAGCAGGCAACTGGTTGCCCGCGCAGGTTTCGGAGTCAGACACTTTACCGGAATGTTTAGGTCATTCAGATTCTGAATTCACCCGCGCCGCTCAGACTGCAGGTAGGGTTGCCAACCCTCCTATAAAATATAGTATCCTACTTTAATAGGGGATCAAATACTTTATTTTAGTGTTGCCGAACTATCGATATTAAAACTATCGACAGTTTACATCGAAAATCATGTACCCTATCGACAGGCCTATCGATAGAATCGATACAACCGATAGTATCGATACTATCGATAGCTCAGAACAAGGTAATATTATCGAATGAGTGCAATACTATAGATACTATCGATACTATTGTAGTTCGTTAATAACAAACTATTGATAGTATCGATACTATCGATAGTGTTGATTTTATCTGCAACAATACTATCGATAGTTTGTGATTGACTAAAATACCTGAAAATTGTTAACAATACTATTGCAAATTGTTATACTATCGATAGTATGGTTGCAAATAAAATCGACAGTATCGATACTATCGATAGTTTGTTATTAACGAACTACAATGCTATCGATAGTATCGATAGTATTTATCTCATCCGATAGTATTGGCTTTTTCTGTGCTATCGATACTATCGATAAGCCGATCGATACGATTGGTTGGTTATCGATTAATCATCGATAGTCGACTATCGATCGGCAACACTATTTCTAAAAAATATGTAGTAGGCGAAACTACTATATTTTGCTTAAAGCATATTTTTGACAGTAAAAGCTTTCTTAAAAATATTAGAGATTGTTATTATAATATTAGTTAGGCAAAGAGCAACAAAAATATATTTATTTCAAAAATAAATAACCACCATCTAAACTTAAATTTGACAACAGTGCATCTTTTTCATTCTGTATAGAGAGACTGATGTTAATTCTTCATCATGTGAGGTTCATTTTTTGTTTGAAATGTAGTAGTTAGAACGTTTCCACTTCCATCCTAAATATTGGAAGAAACGTTTCCTATCGACTTTTAATTAGGGAAACAAATGGAGGTATTCTCCATATTCTCCGATCGATCTTCATTAGAAAACTTCTCCATGTTTACAACTGCGAAAACACCCCCCATTTTTGTTTCTGGATCAACAGCTTCGAACGCGTCGAATGGGAAAGAGAGACTGTTGAATGACAATCGATTGCGACTATTTACAGATTAAAAAGTTGTCCCATGTCAACAATTGGTCTAGGCTCCGAATATGATTTTGTCCCATTCGGTGTCGAGACCCTTGGTCCGTGAGGTCCTAGCGCTGTAAGGCTTTTAAAGGAAATAGCAAAAAGGTTGCTGCACATCATAGGAGACCGAAGAGCTGGCAGCTACCTCGGACAAAAAATTAGTCTAGCTATTCAAAGGGGGAACGCTGCCAGTATATTTGGAACCTTGCCTAAAGGGACTCCTTTTAAAAATGTATTTTAGTTATTATATATTTTAAAGTTTTTAGTTATAAATATCATACTATTTGTTCTTTAGTGATATATCTCCATTTTTTTAAATTGTATAAATTTCATTAAAACATCTAGAAGTTAAATGCTATAAAATAAAAATATTGGTACTTATGTATATACGTATCATGAGGCACTTTCTGTGTGCCTATGAAGTAATTCAACCCAGTAGTTTTAGCGTGAATGAATAACAAACAACCATTTTTTTTAATGTTTTTCGGGGAGTGAAAATCAAAAATAATTATAAGCAGGTTTGGATAATAGATCACTATTGTAATATAGATTTACGGAAAAAATTACTTCGAACTCGAGTATGTATAACTTCAAAAACTCCATCTATCCATCTTTAATAAAAGTTAGATGGTAAATCTTATTGACAGTGATCGCCTAATCGATACCATTTGCCTTTGAAAGCTTATCTTAAGCAAGTAATACAAAGTAGTGTTGCGCATAATCGCTAGATGGCGTTTGGCTACTAAGAAAATGATTAATGACTAGATGTCCAAAGTCATGTCTCAAAAAAAATGATCACTAATCTGCCAATGACAAAAAAGAAATCAATCAATAATGGTGTTACATAACAATATTTTAAAATTAACGTAATGATTGATACTTTTTGCGCGTCTGGCTTTTTGCTGTACCGTAATGACTATTAGGTCATAGGGTAGGTGGGTACCCGGATTCTCATCTGGGCCTAATAAATCACGGTCAATGCCAAGTTCACATTCAAGGACATAAAATTATTAGGTATACAATTTAATATCAAAGGCACTTAAGGTTTTAGCTGTACGACTTAAAATACTGATTCGTACAATTCTATTTATAAACGTGATATTTAAGACATTTTGTTCAAAAAACCTGGTCATATTTGCTTTAATAAACACTGAATTGTCATGACTTATTAAGCTGCGATAATTCGACTTAATTACTTTAAAAATAATATATTTTAAGATTGTTCACCCTTTTGAAATCATCATTATCATCATAAACATGATGATGTGTCAGCCGTGCGACGCCCTCTGCTGAGCATAGGCCTCCCCCAAGGATCTCTGAAGAATTTTTGAAAAGGGTCATTCAAAATCAGTGTTTATATGGCAAGCGTTTTAAAGCATTTTGTCACTTCACTTTATCCCGTTCGTCTCCATGGGCAGCGCTTAGGCGGGCCGCGACCATTCATCAGCAGTTGACTTATCTTGTCGTTTGCCATCTATAGATCTTATAAATGCGAAAATAGCTCTGACAGACTTACTGCTAAGTTTTCATGTTCAATGTTCCTCTAAACTGATTAAGCTTGATTTTGGCTATGCTCTAGTATATTTATAATCAAAATATTAAGCAAAGTTTAAAGTGTAAAATAGGCACGAATAGAGAAAAGGTGTTCTATAAGAGGAAGTCGTGAATACAAGAGGATTAAAAATAGTACCTACATATGAAACATCTAAAACGTGTCTCATTTCGTGAATCCTTGAATAAATTTTTCGCATTCTCATAAATTATCTAATTTCTGACATTTCATTCCATATTAAGTTCATTCATGTTCCGTTCATTCACCTCTGTAGCCGATTGGTATGTACGCCGGGTTTCAAGGTGTCGCTTATTCGAGTTGTCCCGGGTTCGAATCCCGGTGGGGGCAGATGTTTGTGTGATGAATACGAGCATTTTTACTGCAGTCATGGATGTTAAATATGTATTTCTATATAAATCTTTATATATATATATATAATTCTTCTGTGAGTGTGTATGTCACTGAACTTCTCTTAAACGACTGGACCGATTTTGATGAAATTTTTTGTGTGTGTTCAAGGGGATCTGAGAATGGTTTAGATTTACAATTTTGTCCGCTGGACAACCCCTATTTTTTTAGGGCGGTACGAAGTTCGCTGGGTCAGCTAGTTTACTTATATATATATATATATATATATATATATCAGTATATGCATTCTATCCGTTAACCTAGTATCGCATAAGGCAAGCCTACAGTGCTGACTTTGGGGCTAGGCAAATTGTGTGAATGTTGGAAATATTTATTTATTTACTTATCATCTTGTTGCTACAAGATTTCGAAAAAATAAAACATGTGTTGAAATAACGTTGACGTGCAATGTTGTTACCTAAGACCACCTGGGGTCCTCTTCGAAATCCAAATTACTCATAAGTTAGAGGTCAAGTTAGTCTATGTGGACTAAGTAAATGGCTAATAAGCCATCAATTTTAAAAATAGCCGGGAGTAATGCTTGTCTTATGTCAGAGCCTATTTATAGATTAAAATAAGGTGCGGTGGCATCGCAATTCCCTTCTAGAAATAATAAGTTATCAAACAGGCGTTCATTTGCGTGATCAAATTATTGCGTATTTGCTCGTTTCGAAAGATTCACAGGTCGAAAGAATATTTCAACAACACGCCTGCAGCTGCATTCACCCTATATTATTTCACGTACCGTAAAGATTTAGTTACGAAGAATCATATCTTTGTTTGGTTTATACATTTTTGAATTTCTCTTGATTCGTATCCTAATGCTCTACGTTAATTTTTTTGTTTAGCAGCAGTACTAAAACGGTATGTTTTATTTGTCTTCAATTTGTGTTTCTTTGCGTTATTAATACAATTTATCAATGTCAGCATCTCTATTAGTGACTGAATTAATTTGTTATGTTAGTTTATCTTTGAGTAAGGCAATAGAATCATTTACATATTTTATGATTATTGCATATTTTCTATAACCAATGATTGAATTTAGTTTAATTTGATCTGAATATGTAGGCTATTTATTATAATATTATTAATATACATATATATGAATCAGTATAATAATATTTATTCAATTCGTTCCCTAGTATCCCATATCATAAGCTTACAGTGCTTACTTTGGGGCTAGGCTAATAATTGATGTGAATGTAGGAAACATTTACTATTTCGTTTGTAATCAAAAAGCAATCAATTAATTACAGATTTTAGGTTACCTGCGCAGGGCAAACACTGTTTATAAATCTACAGATGATGAGCATGGAACTAGTGGTAAACTCTCTAGTAATGCAGCAATGTCAGATGGTTTACATTTGCACTTTTTGAAAGCCAGGAATGCTTGGTTTGAAAAGGCATTAGAAGATGCAAAAACTAATGAGTGTAAGTTTTTATAAATAAGATAGATATGAATATTATTAAGTTTGATATTTTTATATAAATACCTCAAGTTTCAAGTGGAGATAGTTTTCTTACCTTTGGGCACTTTCCCACCGTCGACAATAACGAGGAGCGAGTAAGCTAGACACAAGTTGGCGAACAGCGATAAGCGAGTGTGTAGTACCGATAGTTTTATCGCTTGGCTATAAGCGAGTGAGAGTACAACGGCGGATTACTCGCGGTGACAGCCGTGAGTAATAATCCAAGCGCAGAGCATCGTTGAGAGAGTATTACTTTGATAGCTCTTGTCTGCCTACCCCACCCGTGACTCGGCTTGAAAATATAGATAGATAGAAAGCTCTTGTCGCTCAGCGACAAACTAGTGGAGCCAGTTCTCGCCGGCAGTGTGAACAGTCAGCGATCAACTTGATCAACAACAAGTTGAGAAGCATATGCTTCTCTCTTGTTAAAACGGACTTGTTAATAGCAGATAGTAGCTTCCTCGCCGGCGGTGGGACATATGCTTCTCTCTTGTTAAAACGGACTTGTTAATAGCAGATAGTAGCTTCCTCGCCGGCGGTGGGACTACTGCGTTAAAATGTTCACCATATTCATTACCGTGGTGGTGTAGCGCTTAGAAAACTGTTTAATCCTTTGTCGACTAAACAGTTTTCTAAGCGTACCTACTTCTTACTAATATTATAAATGTGAAAGTTTGTTTGTTACTCGATCACTCAAAAACTACTGATCGGATTGAGATAAAATTTGCTAGTTGACTTTATGGGATATTATCGTGCTCGATAGCGCAAGTGGTTAGCGCGTTGGGCTGCGATTGTTGATGTTTTTTAACTTTTAAAAAACATCAACAATCGCAGCGCAAAAATTAACTGTCTCGAGCTCATCCGTGTTTCGGAAGGCACGTTAAGCCTTTGGTCCCGGCTGCATCTGCAGTCGTTAGCACCCACCAATCCGCACTGGGCCCGCGTGGCGGGTCATGGCCCAATCTCCCTATTCCATCCATAGGGAAGGCCTGTGTCCCAGCAGTGGGGACATTAATAGGCTGGTGATGATGATGTTAGTTTGACTTGGATTGAGACACGGGTTACTTTTTATATAAAAATGTAAGGTTCTTGTGTTATCCTCAAAAAACTAAAGCTTATGCGGACGAAGACGCGGGCGGCCGCTATACCGTAATGAAACTAGCTTCCATTTTGTATTATTTATACAAAGCAAATAATTTGAAAGTTCATTATTGCAGCATCAGAAAAGTTGTTGAGACGAATAGTGGAACTGCACCGAATTCATCTTTTCAATGTGTTGACCCAACATAAATCAATATTCTTATCAGACACTCAAGAATCTAAAGTCAAAGATGATGAACTAAGTGGAACCAGTGCCTTATCTTGTTGGTTGAAACAAAAAGTAAGTTTATTTTCTATTAAGTTTCTTTTATAAGTTAACAAACGTGCATATGGCACTAACCCCTTGTTTAATAAACGCGGAATACCTTAGACTACATTCGACTGCAAATAAACTGGGACAACCGCTAGTACATTGGAACTCTAATTAGATTTTTTCAAATAGTATAAAACTTACAACTATTAAATCCATATCTACAGAAAGTGTGTTTCATAATTATTAATATGAGTAAAAATTTATTCTAGAGTACTGTCAAATAATAATCGAGCAAGAACAGCAATGCTAATAATTTGCTATTTTTTTTAATAAAGTCGCAGTTATCGTTCTTTTTTATAAAATAAAGATAATCTGATACTTCTTATCATTTCCTTAGTTTGTCTCCATAGTTTTCTCAGACGTGAGTATTTTTGCTTCGTTCGTTACTTCCGAATACCAAAATTGGAAAACGATTCTTCCTTGGCTTCTTTTAAATAAAAAAAATATTTATTGATTAATCTCAATAAATTCTAGTTCATTTTAATCACCGAGAAACGCACTTTCTGTATTTATAATTTTGATAGTTGTAAGTTTTATACTTTTTGTGAAAATCAAATCAGAGTTTCGTGGTAGCAAGTGGCCCAGTGTATTTTCAGTCGAGTGTAGTTACGCCGTGTTTTGTTCATATCACTTGTGCCATTTGTAATTCAATGAGCAGAGACAAAACGTGTAGTAAGTAATCCAAGCTTATTTTTCGTTTATTATTAGCGGGGTAAGTGGCCACTATGGACCAGAGTAATACTTGTGTGTAATCTATATGAACAGAGTCCTAGGCCCGTATTACAGAATGACAACTAAGTGTTGATCTTTACTTGAGTACAGTTAGAAAGGGATGTCGCTATGTGCTATATATAGCGACATCCCTTTCTAACTATGCTCAAGACTAGATCAATAACTGAGGATCTTTCTATAATACGGGCCCTAGTCTAGCATATTATCATGACGAATCAAAATTAACACTTTATTTCTACTGGCTCTGTACTGATTTATTTAACAATTTTTTGTAGGTAGAAATGTTGGCGCAAATGTTGAACCAAAATTTGATGCGTGAGGATGAATCAAGCTTTGAATCACTATTGAACCAATGCATGTATCTTTGCTTGTCATTCGGAAGAGTTGGAGCTGATATGAGGGCTGTTTTGACGCCGTTGTTTAGAAATATCATACTTACCCAATTTCACAATGGCCTAGAAAAGGCTGACAATCACTTCGATAACCAAATGCGATCATATAAAGTATCCAGCATCAAGAATGTGCCCAGGCCAGTTAACGAAAACATGGCTCAGGGGCCTCCCGAAAACTTACTGGATTACTATCCTCTAGCAGAATATTGTAATGGAATGCTTACAGTGCTAAATTCTCTAAGAGTTACAGCCCCGCTTAACATTGTTAAAGAAGTATATAATGCATTTAGAAAATCGTTTGAAAAGTCAGTTCAAGTACTACAAACATTTTACCACAAAGAGCAACAGGGGTTTACTGATATTGAAAGGCAAAATTTCGTGCTGTTTTGCGTTAGTTTCAGTGAAGACTTAATTCCTCATATCACCAAATGTTTGTCTCAATCATTCCCGTCTACACATATTGCAGAACTATTGGGAGTTACACTTACTGTTCTCCAAGAAAGTAAAATCCTTCACATTGACCAAATAGCCATTTGTGAACCACTAAGTGGCATAATAAGTCTTGTTAATAGTTAATAAATGATTTAAATTAAATCAAGCAGCACTTCTTATTTCCTTAATAAAAATAAACTATTATTATATTGATAAAAATGTTTATTAATTATGTTCTTACAAAATGTAATGATTAAGATAAATTTGTAAGGCACAGCCTTCTTAAAATCTATTAATATAGCATTTAATTAAGGAATGCGGTTTAGTTGGAAAATACCATTTATGTGAAACGGATCCTCTTAACTCTAGATTTGCCGTCTTCGTTTCTTGATACTTCGTAATAGTGGCTTACTTTATCAATGTTGCCAAGAGACTCGATAAACTCCTTGTCGTGGGTTATAATGATGAACATAAAGTTTTTCTGCGTCATTCGCTCCTGCACTATTTCCCCTAATGCCGAACACAGACTCCTAATGTTGTCTTGATCCAAGTTAGTTGTAGGCTCGTCTAGAGCTAATATTCCAAACCTTTATAAACAGAAAACGAATTATAAACCATAGGGAAGCCTATGTATAAACTACAGGCTGGCGCAAATGTAATCACCCTATCGGAAGATGTTCTATTTTATTTATTACTAATGGCGTCGTACGTCAATCATATTTGATATATGTAAACTACAGATTCAGAATCATAGAGGTATTAGAATAGAGTGGGGAAGGCGGCTCTAAAGTGTCCGTCTAGTAGAAACAGAAAGATGATGAGAGACCGATAGCTATCTCTCTCTCTCTCTCTCTCTTGTGACGCATGGCATCCAATGGCATCACATCGAAATAGTAAGATGCTTACGGTTGCCAATGCGCATGCGCGATTAGAGAGAAAAGCTAGCGGTCTCTCATCTTCTTTCTCTTTCTATTAGAGGGACACTTCCACTTGTAGTAGAATCTATATATCCCCTACTCTATTCTTATACCTCTATGTTCAGAATACAGACCAGCAACGGAGCAGGAGTGTGAACATGTGTGGTTTCAAGGAAACAGTGCAACTGAAAACACAGCACGATTTTATTTTGGCTAGTTGGCAGACTTCTATCTACTGAAAGTCTCGGGTTTGTGCCAACAAGCCTCAGATAACCGCAGCCACCAAAGAGTCATTTGAAAGGAATGCGAACAGTTATCACTGGAAATTTCGCGGAAATCATGAAAAACGCCACGAAACTTGCACAAATGTGTAACAACGTTGGCGGTGGTCACCTGACGGATATCATCTTTTCCACTTAACAGAAAAAAAAATTAAAGGTCCTAATAAACATTTCCACCACTCAAGATCATTATTTAAAAAAAAATATACACATACAAAATGATGATGATTACTTTATGACACCTTGCATAATGTTACCGGCAATCTGTATAATTTGGCATTATATACAATACCTAAGCAAGGTATAGAATGCCTAAAACGTCAATGAAAAAGAATGAGAAACATGTATGAAAATGTGCAGTCGGCAATGTGTGTAAAAGAAGATAGCGACTCGACTTTTCCTTGTTTCATTTATCTATTACATAAATAAATAAAAATTTCCAACACTCACACCAATTAGCCTAGCCCCAAAGTAAGCACTGTAAGGGTACGGCCACAGTGCACGCAGATTCAGACTCAGAAAACAAGCTTGCTCGCGCTTGTTTTCTGAGTCATGACCGGAGTACAAATGCTCATAATCATCAAACAAAAATCCCTCCGTCATCTTATATCCAATTGGGTTTATTTTACACATTATCAGTGGACCAGTAAGTACTCTATAAAAACCCTGGGAATTGTTTACATTATCTAGGCAAAGAATATTTGAGGAGCTGGCGAACAAAACGTTATAATTACGCATCTGGTCAAACTACTTTTCTTTTACAGTCCGGAGGTATCGGGCCCGTTGAATCTCAAATAATTTTCAATGAAAACCGCCTAAAAAAGTGTTCAAATTACTAATTTTATAAATTAAAAACCATGACAAAATCTTACTGGAGGTATGCCATTCAGTTTTATAAGGCTCCTGTAAAAAAATATTTTTATGTAATTACCGTTTTGTTCACCAGCTTCTCCTTTATAATATTTCATACATTGCCTAGGTATTATATAGAATACCTGAATTATGCAGATTGCCGGCGAGTAGTATGCAATATTACTTTGTTATCAGCGCATATTGAGTAAGGTTAGAATTTACTGTCACAGAAATAAAGTATATTCTTCCGCCTACAGCGAAAGTCATAAAAATTTACGCACTTGCATTTCAAACTGTCGCAAAGTCGCAACTCTGTCGCGTTACAAAGAAATTAGAACAGCCTTTTTCGCGCTACAAAGAAATAAGACCTCATATCCTATTCATTATTGGTGAATGGATATTTGAATGCGATGATCCAATGTACCTTTAGGAACTGTTTTCCGCTACGATTTGTGATATTGTATTTACGGTCGTTGATCTATTAATAATTTAAAAATACATATGTACCTGGAGCTGAATGTTTCAGCAAGAGCCAAACGAATTATAAGGCAAGCTAACACTTTTTGACCAGCGCTGCATCTTCCTCTCATGTCTATTTCCACTCCATTCTTACATTGAACGACTCTGCAAATATAAAAAAAAATCAATATGCTATCAAAAAAAACACCTTAAACAACTCAAATAAGAATAATTACCTGTAATCGTATTTGCGACGATCCGAGTCTGACGTCATTCCTCCTTCAGTCTTTATTTCAATGTAATCAATATCATTTCCTCTGTATATCTTTCTCCATAGTTCTCTAAAAATAAAGTGTCCATATTTGTGAAATGTGTGAACTGTACTTACAAACGGATTATTATTGGTTTATCAACTAATGTCACCACATCCAGGGCACCACTTTTCCCTATCGGATTTAAACCTTATAAACATTGATAATGAAACGCGGAACAAGAACTAAAGCAAGAAAGAGTTTAAATTCGACTTATTTTTCCATATAGACCAAAAAAAGGGACAATTAATTGCTATGAACAGCGTGCGTACCACTACATAAACTTTGAAATTGGATACAATGTGGGATATTGTAGATACCTTGGTTACCTTAACGATATCGAATCAAAAAGCGATATAATTTCTAATGCAACCTGCCAACACGCCACTAATACTTTTCGGTTGGGGAATAAGTACTTTCTTTAAGAAATCTTTTCTAGGCTTGCAACGAATATTCGGTTACTATTCGGTATTGAGGAGCTTGATGGCACAAGTGGTTAGCGCGTTCGGCTGCGATCGTTGAAGTTAAGCAACTTTCGCAGTGATCGGTCATTGGATGGGTGACCAAAAATTTTCTATCTCGAGCTCTGCTTCTGCTTCGGAAGGCACGTTAAGCCGTTGGTCCCGGCTGCATCTGCAGTCGTTAACACCCACCAATCCGCACTGGGCCCGCGTGGTGGGTCATGGCCCAATCTCCCTATTCCATTCATTGGGAAGGCCTGTGCCCCAGAAGTGGAGACATTAATAGGCTGATGATGATGATTCGGTATTCGGCCTATTCGGCTGCTTTTATTATATTCGGCCGAATACCGAATACTTAAATAATATATTTTGTCATAGAGAAATAATTGGTAAAATGAAAAAATTAAATCGATTGATTACGTATCTATATATATATATAAATGTTATATTGGTTTGTGTACGCTTCAAAAACTCAAAAAGTTCTGCACCGATTGAGTTGAAATTTTAACATGATATAAAATCCACATCAAGGATTGTTTTTATCAATTTTTTGCATCAGTCACATATCTGCGACCGCGAGAAAATAGTTTTTTAACGATCAGCTGTGAACCAGTGACCGCGCCATCTGCCAGAAGCGAGTAAAACACTCGCTGACAACCGCAATAGTAATGACGCAGTCACATGAGAAACAATTTCGTTCCCGATTACATTGTTTATTTACAAAAAAAAATGCATCTGATTATTATACAATCTGAATTAAATATTCACTTAAATCAAGACTATTTGGTGTAATAGTGTTGTGATCGAACTGCGCCTTTCACCAAATCGTAAGTAGAGGTTATATTATATAATAGATGGACAGTAAAAATATTTTTTTTTTGCAATTAATATTTATTTAATATTAATTAATTAAATAAATAAGTAAAATATTAGTTAAATAATAAATCAATAACAAAACATATTTATTATTGAAGTGAATCTTTTCTATCGACGTATGAGAGAAATTTTTATAGCAATGTTTGTTTCTATAATTCAATAGTGACGTAAAAGATAATAATATTTTTATAATAAACTGACAGGCAAAATAAAAGAACTTATTATAATTCAAGTGAATTTCTAACAGAAGTGAGTGGTTATATCTTTTTTATTACATTTAACACGTGGACGTAATTATAGTATTTATTTTGGATTAACCTCACTTTTTGTTTATAGGTATCAGTTAATGTATATAAATATAATTACATTAAAACTAGCAATTATTAATTAATACGAATGTCAATATAGTCAACATCAATTAATTTCAATAATCAAATCAAATAAAATAACAATTAAATGTAACAATTAAAAACAACAAAATGAAAACATAAAGGCGTGCATATTTTTTAATTATTTATTTTTAATAATTTTCTTCTTTATTATCTCTTTATTCTCTCTATCTTAGACAAAAAATATTGTATATCCACAAGTATTGCAAAATTAAACTTATATGAAATGTATTCTTTGTTTTGTTTCCCATTTCTCAACCATTCAATCACAATGTGCCACTGCGAAGCGTAACAAGCGTGGCAGGGTACAGCTAGTATATTCATATTTTTATTTCTGTTATATAGTCATTTAAGTAGTCATTGGTACATAACACAGGTACATAATCATCTTCTGAATTAGAAAAATGGAGGATTCTATGTTTTTGAATTATTGTGGTAATCAAAATTTAGAAGGGTAAGGTTCTCATTTCTTTTATAATCATTTATTAAGTAGTCGTTGGTACATAAAACAGGTAAATAATTTAATCATTTTCTGTATTAAACAAGTAACAGTTTTTAATTCATTCAGTCATGTGATGAATGATTACATAATAGCAATAATTTAAAGTTTACGCGCCATTTTCGGCCATATTTCAAAAGTTGGTTTTGTCATTTAGCCGCGCTTTAGCTTGAGGACGGCAGATTCGAACAAAATAAAGGAGCTCGAAACAATCACGTCTGTACCTCAGACCAAATAAAAAGTAAAGACGGAGTCTGCCGAACAAAAAAGTGAAGCCGATAAAACTACGCCTCGCCGTGTACATACACAGTTACACGCACACACATGCAACGAAACTACGCCTTGGCTTCCCAGTCGAGTTATCCCGGCGCGCGGAGTGTGACGTAATAATAAAAAACAATATTTATTAGAGAAAATGCCGAATTGTGTAATGAAAACGTGTAGAAACCAATATTCCAAGAATAAAAAACAGGATGGAATCACATTTCATACGTAAGTAAAGTTATAAAATAATATTTTCAATTAATCAAAATCAAATTTGAGGTTGTCGCTTTGTAAACAAAACCTGAACGAAATGCTGCCATGATTATACGTTACAGTTTTACCCTTTTGTTGGGTAGCGTGAAATATAACGTAACGTTATAATTTTTATAGCATGTTACTGCTTGATGTTTAAATCTATAGAAAATATAACTAGAAATTTGTTTAATACTTGTAAAAGTATTCATTTGACATTGTGGGTTACCTATAATGCGAAGAGATGGCGCTGCCTTGCAGCTTAAGAATGGCTAGATGAAATTCGACGCGGTCCGTGAGGGCCCCGGTAGCATAATTGGTCAGTGCATTCACCCGGTTTGCGAAGGGTGCGGGTTCGAGTCCCGTCTGCTGCCTGGTCCGCGTGGAATTTTTTCTAGTTATATTTTCTTTAGATCATTTCATTTCAGAAACATCAAGCAGTTACATCTACTATATAAAAATAAGTCGGGTTTTCCTTCCTGACGCTATAACTCCAGAACGCACGAACCGATTGCCATGGTTTTGCATTCGTTGGAAAGGTCTCGGGCTCCGTGAGGTTTATAGCAAAGAAAATTTAGGAGAAATTAAAAAAAAATCTTCTTTTAATCACCAAACGAAATGTTACATAAAACGAAGCCATCTGGTGGCGAAACGGAGTTCGCCGGGTTTGCTAGTGCTTTATAAATATTAAAAAATATAAATAACGTAACGTTATTTTATTAAATACATTGTGTTGCATACTTTTATATTATTCGAATATTGTAATGCATGGATAAACAATTACACGGAACATCTTTATTATCTTTTTTCTCTATGTATTCGTATAATTTTTGTGGGATGTAATACACATTATATATTATACGTTTCTTTTACGATTTCCTAATCAAGATCAAAATCTAAAAGAGTTCGTAAGAGTAGAAATGAACCATTGTGGCAACCAGCTTCTCGCAGCGTGGTTTGTTCGTCTCATTTTCAGAGCGACGATTTGTACTACACAACAAAAGGGTTACGTCGTGTAAAATAAAATGCATATCCAAGAGTATTTTTTTTACTTAACTTAATATGGTTACTTAGGTTAATTTATATTTTAAAGATTCCAATAATTCTTCAGTCGTGTAGACGGTTTTAACACAAAATTACACCAATTTTATTTCACAATATTCACTATGAACGAATTAAAGTATAATTAAAATATGACGCTAACCGCACTCCATGAAATCCCGCCAAAAACTCCAAAGGTTAGCTTTGTTTTTATTATATATTTTTTAAGTAAACTTTTATTAGTGTAACAGTTATTAAACTTAAAAATCACAGGAACCCCAGATCTCCAAGTGCAGGACCTTTGGCTCACGAGAGCTTGGATCTAGCGATAGTGTAAAACTAATCTGGACTAGTTTAGAGATAAGCATACGATAGTTTTTCTAACATTTTATAACGTTATTTCATAACGTTATTACATTTTTCTAATTTTGGGGTGTTATAAATGACTATGGTAACACTGGCTAATCCACTACATACATAAAAAACCGGCTTCACTTTTTTGTTCGGCAGACGCCGTCTTTACTTTTTATTTGGTCTGAGGTCTGTACAAGTTTATGGCGCTAAAATCCAGCCGAATACTTTTGCCTAATATTCGGCTATTCGGTATACTGCCGAATACACTATTCGTTGCAAGTTTAATCCTTAGTTTATTTGTCAATGGGTCAAACTACAAACGTCATAGCAAGTTTTGAGGAATGAAATTAACTGAGCGATACTCTCATAATATAGGCTACTTGACACTTTTTGGAAATATGTTTTAAATGGTTAATAATATAATTGTTCTATTAGACCGAAAAAAAATGTATTGTACTTTTTTACCTAGAAAGCTACAAAACTTTAATTTTAAAATAGATTTTTCATGGACATACAAAAACGCTGTCGGCCATTTTAGTCTATATATTTGTGGTTATGGGTTTGTTCGTAAATAAAAAGTTCTTATACACTTACGATTTCCATTTATCACAAGAATAATAACAGAAGGAGTTCGCAAAACACACAATTCAAAACAGCAACGATAGACACAGCAAACAGTTCAAACAAAGCATAGAGAAGAAGAAAATACACATAAGCGGTAGTGTGAAAACACTGCGTAAGCTGCTGAGGGGCGGTACACATAGGAAATAACCTGAATCTAAATTTATGTTATAAAACCATGATTTCTAATAGATTTCATGATAAATATAATAATTATCATGATTATATTATACGACATTGTAGAAACACATCGTTAGACTTCAGAAAAGTTGTGGTTTAAATTGCCTAGAGAAATACACATACCTACACATGAACACAGTCATGTTTAAAACATGCTAAATCCTGCAATTTTACCGTCTGAAAGTCTTTTCTTTTAGCAAAGATCACTTTAATGTGAGTACTCATTGAATAATATTTAAAGTTTAAAAATACAATTTTTAAGGTTATGAATGTACCTACTAAGTCAAAGAGTTTTGTCGTTTCTGCTTTCACAAATCCGGCGTCCAGCATTAATTTAATCAACAAAACCATAAACGGAAAATTTTCTACAAGATGTAAGAGTTTTTAGATATTTTTTAGTCCGACGAAAGACACCACAGTAACACGACAATGACGTTTAGTTATTTACAACACATTTACTAATTTGTTGACGTCACAATCATGGTGGACAGCGTTTTGAGTGTTTAAACAGACTAAAAAATCAAATTTCAAATTAAATTACTACAGCCATCTTCTAATTTTATGAAGTGAAATCGATGTATTTAGGTTAATCATTCCAATCATTATAAGAAATAAACATTTGTATGGTGCAATTTGACATAAATCAACTAGCCTATTGCAACTCTCTAAAATGAGAGAAAGCGCTGGTGCATCTATTACGTTTATAAACTATTAGGCGCGCACGATCGCATCGTCTTTCTCGCATACTACTCAGTTTTACTTGACAGGGAATGTTATAGACAAACAAGGACCAGCAGGTCTATAATGAACACACGAAATCCGAACCAAGTCCGTATTATGTCAGCTCTGTAATCGTATCATCGTATAGCATCATCAGTCTCTATGAAAACTAAGCAGCGGACGTAAGAACAAATAGCTTCGTTCATAAAAAAAATCACTATATATAACGATACGAGCACGGAGGAGCTCGAAATAACAAGTTTTTGGTCAGCCATCCAATGACCGACTATTTCGAAAGTTGCTAACTTTGACGATCACAGGCCGAATGCGCTAACCACCTGCGCCATCAAGCTCTTTAATATACATTGGTTAGAGATAAACAAGATCGTCGACTTAACATTCCAAAGCACAGATAATAGATTGATTAAATTTGTGAAAGTATAGCAAGCAAACAAGTACTACAGTAGTGGCTTTTGATGCCAAAGAGTCGGGGACAATAAATATTATAACACTCGCGCGTTACCTACCCTGACCTTTAAAAAGATAAATGTTCAGACATGTACTCTAAAACGAACAATAGCTGTGTTCTGCTTTCTATATTTGTTTCTGATTCATATATAGCTTCAATAGTTATATGATCAAAGAATCATTTGTTATGATTGGTCTATAACTTCTACAACAGTCGACTTATTTTAATCCATGTTCTAAAATTACCTGATTATTAGATTGATGCTCTCCATTTTTTCTCTATGGAATTCCATTACACACTTTTCTAATGCTACAGAATAATCTCTGATATCCTTATCTATGGCTTTAGTTGCATTCAGCTCATAAAACTTTTCTCTATATTTATTTTCTATATCCTTATTAGTTTTTTTCAATTCAAATCTACATTGTTTCAATCTATCCTGTAAAACAAATTAAAGTCATTTCTAACATGATTTTACTTTTAAAAGAAACATTTACTTTGCTAAATTTAAGTAAGTACTTAAATCATCTGTGTGTCACTTATCAAGTGATAAGTATTTGTATAATTGGTACTTACTTGCAATTCGCTTAAACTCCCCTCTATATTAGCTTTCTCTCTGAATTTCTTAGTTTGTAAAGTGATTAAAGCTGGTTTTTCCGAAATCATATCTTTGTTGACACCATTCATTTTTTCATTGTTCGTTTCCTCCTCCTTTAGTAACTTTTCAATTTCTATTTCTATTTTTTTCAACTTCAAATTGTCCCCCAAATCTCTTTTGTAAGTCTAAAAAAATATAGTGTTAACACATTTAAATCAAATATTAGAAAAAAAACAACATTGATTTTGATTCTGGCATGGTTCTCTAAACTGAAACTAAATTTAACCTGAGTCTCTCCTCCTGTAGAGAATGACAAGGATGTCATATTTAATCTTAGGTATAGATAATCATGCCAGAATCGACACCATTTCGTGATTATTTAATTGATTTACCCCTTGTTTAGCAATTTCATCCTTGATTGTGTCGATTCTCTTTGTAAGCGCAGCTCTGTCGGTCATAATCTTCTTAAGCTGTTCCATTCGCTTCTCATTATCTTCTTTAATTTTTGCCATTTTTGCAGGTATGTTTTTCTCTTTGTGTTGTTTTATTTCCGTACTGATTGCTTTAACTTTGTCAAATGAACTGGCCACTTTGGAAATGTGGCTATTTTTAGTGTCTGTAATACCTCTGAAACATCAAATGATCTATTTTACAAATACATGAACATATAATAATGTATAATGTGACGTCAACTCTTATTAATTACTCGTAATCTCAGACAAGTTCTTCAGTCTCAAAAAGACTGGTAAAACTTGAAAATAGCTTAATACTGTGATGCAAACGTAGCGTAGGAAGAAACACATGTGCATGTAGATACATGTTTACTGGAAAGGATTTTGGCCTTTTATAAGAGATCCCAGTCTCGTTATAAATCGGTGTACATAGTTAAAAACTTGACTTGTTTATTTCTAGCCTATAGTTATATAACTTGGGTATACAATGGGGTCAATTCTAGCATGATTTTCTAAACTTTAAACTAAATTTAACATCAGTCTCTCCTTTTTATTCTGTATAGAGAATAACAAGGAAACATTCTTGTCAAATTTAGTTTTAGGTTTAGAGAATTGTGCCAGAATCGACACCAATATTATACACAACAGGACATGGCATACCTGTACTTCGAAACGGTTTCTTTTTTGTCCTTTTCCTTTTCTTTGAGATTTTCTTCTAAAGCGGGAATGCCTTCTTGTAGTTCCTTCAGCTCTACAACGAATTTTTCACCATCTGCCTCCATCTGTTTTTTCTTTTCTTGCAGAGAAAATATTTCTTGCACCTAGATTTTTATATTTCTTTAAGTATTAGTTGATAAAGTCTATATTATAATCGGCTAGAATAAGATGATTATAGATTGCAATAAGTATTTTTTTGTTCCTTGGCTAAATATTTTTATAGCACAGTGTGACCTAAACCCGCACTTTACGCACGCTTTTCCGTGACCTAAGTTGCCTATTTCTGCACGGTGTGTAAATGAATTGACCTACTTCACTCATGTAGAAAAAATAAAAGGAAACACATTTAAATGTCATTTGGAGCTTAAAAACTCACAGCAAACAAATGACAAATTAGCGATAGGTTAGGAATTTTCAGTGACAGCCAAAACAAGGAGAAACGGTTAGCTATAATTCATTCCGCGAGAATTGTATCTTTTGGTCGAAAATGGCCAGTTCGGATAGTGACCTAAGCGAATACGAGAACGGTGAAATTGTTCCGGACGCAATTAAAGAAGCGGCGAAGTCGGTGACATTGAATTTGTTGCCACAAAAATCTAAACGGCTGTATACAGCAGCGTATAATGCATTTAAAAAATGGCGACGAGAGAATAAATCGAATTCGTTTTGCGAAGACGTGCTGCTCGCATATTTTGCCCACTTAGCAAAAAAATATTCTCCACCGAGTTTGTGGGCAACATATTCAATGGCCCTCCCTCCCTCCCTCCTCTTGCCCGCGTCCGGGGCGGGTTTATGTCACACTTGCTATAAAATAGTATACGATACTTGTGGCCTAAGTTGTCTATTACGGCACGGCGTGAAGTTAGCGCCCGAGCGGAGCGAGGAGGATAGGCAACTTAGGTCACGCGTATCGTAATGTACTATTGGAAAGAAAAAAACGCCAAAACCTTTCAGAACAATATTTTGAAGGGAATTCATCCTGAAAATCTGCTATGCCCTATATTTCATACACATAACTTACCTTTTTCTGTATATTTAGAAGTTGTTCCTTCATTTTGTTCTTTTTGTCTGCCATTGTTTGTAATTTTTTATTGTGAGCGTTCAATTTCTTCTGGGAGCTTTTTATCCTTGACCTCAAGGTAGAGATTTTTTGTTTCAGGTCTTTTTGTTTTGCAATTGCATCATCCAAAGTCATATCAGTTTCCACTACTGTGCATTGAGCTTTTGCTTTTTCCAGCTGGAAATTTTCCACAAGTTAATATACCAATCTAAAATAGCTGCGACGCTTGCTTATATGTTTAATATAAAGTTTGTTATTATACTCACTTTCTTAGAAATAGTAGATATTTCTTGAGCGGTGCGATCAAGCAGTGGCATGTCGCCTTGAATTTGTTTCGCCGTTTGCAGTTTTTGTTCCGGTTCGATAAGAGACATCGCCAATTCTTCATGTTCCTCAGACAATGTTGTTATTTGCTGATAAAATAAAAAATATAATTAACATAAAAATAGAAAATACAAATGCTTAAGAACACTGTTTGTTATATTTATATTAATTATACCTTCTCAAGATCACTCAAACGTGTTTCCAGCGGTGGTATGTCTTCCTCTTTCAGTGTTTTTATCTTTTCATTTACAGATTTCATAGTGAGTAATTCATCTTTTTTAGCAGAAGCTTTTTGTAGATCCTCTGTAACTTTCTCTAGTTTTGCTGGTACATTCATAACTTGGGTTGTCAATTGTGAAATCAAATCAGTTACCTGTAAATTACAAAAGAAAAAAGTTGATTTTATATTATTTATTATCAACAATTTAGAACACCATTAGTTCTTAACGATTATCACTGACCTCAGATTCATTGTCAAATCCACGGTTACACAAAGGACAACAATTGTTATCTTTCAATTGTCCTTTATATTTACCAATTATGAACATAGACGATTGCAATACATTTTGCTCATCCTGAAAAGAAAAGAATAGTTTCATAGTCACTTAAAATATAAATTTATTTGTAAAATGTAAAAAGAACTTTAGACAATCAAATTGTGAAAGAGCACCTGTAACTTCTCAACATTTGCAGTGATTTTCGATAAGCTGGAGTCATAGGACTGTGTTCCACAAGCTTTATACATTTTATCTTCAGCTTTAGTTAATTCACTCCTCTTTTGATTAAGTGTCTCCCGAACATGCTTTCTCTCAGTTTCTAATTTTGTTTGCTTTATGTGTTTTTCTTTTTGTCGTTGTTTCATAGATTCAACTTCAGCTCGAATTTCACATTCATACTTGTTGATAGAGATTGCAAAGTCTTTTTCAGGCATGTTGCCAAGTAGATCTGTTATAGCAGATTTATGTTTATTTTTTAGGACAGTTGCTTGTTTTTCTTTTTGTTTCAGGGATTCTTCAATCATTTCACATTCTTTTAGTTGTGAACTCTGCTTCTGAAGATTTGTTATGATTTTATCGAGTTCATCGAGATCATGCTCATGACTTTCCAATACTTTTTCATCGTTATTTATCTCCTGTTGAAATTCTTCAGTATTCAGTTCATTTTCTAGAACTTTATATTCTTCTTCTGCTGCTTCGTACTTTTTTTCTATATTTTCTAGATCTGTTTTAGACTTATTTGCTTGAGCTATTTCTTTATCTACTTTTTGGATGTTAGTTTCATTTTTTTTAATCTCTGTTTCTTTATTAGATATTTTTTGTTTATGTCTAGAAAGAGCATCGCGACTTTCATCAACAAAAACTTGCACTTTCTTTTCCTCTGCATCAGCGATAGCTTTATGTTCTGCAAGATCCTTCTTTAGGCTATTTAATTTTTCAACAATTTTTTCAATGCCTTTCTCAGCATCTTCGTTTGATTCAATTTGAATGTCTTCTTCTATTTCTGCTAATTTAGCAGTTTCTATTATCATTTTGATTTTTTTATCAAATTTTTCCTGATTCTGACTTTCCAACAAAATATATTTATTGAAAGTTGTTTCGTCATTTACTTTTTCATCAGCAATTTTCTGTTCTTCATTATTAAAGCTTTTATTTTTTTGATATGATTCAGCAAGTTCCTTTTGCTTTTGTTTTGTGGTAGTATCATAGTTACCTAAAAATATAATTACTTATATTTTTATATGTTCAACATTTGACTTCCCTCGCAAGAAAAAAGTAAATAAAAAAGATTTAGATTTTTAGAGATCCTTAAAACAGTTATAACAAAAATTATGTTTTGTGTAATTTCGCCAAAGAGTAAAGAACTATCGCATATTTTTACATACGTATTTTCTCTTCTAATTCTTCAGTTGTTCCTTCAAAGATAGTTTCGATGGCTTTTTTTAGTTCTTCTTGTTGTTTGCGATTATTAACTAACCTTTAATGAAAAAAAAGTAAACACAATGAAAGGCAGTTAAATGCCCAATTTGCTTTAATTTTAACTTATCATCAAATTGACTTACATATTTTCAATGTTTTTCTTGTTTGATTCAAATTCTATAATGTTTTTCTCCAAATTTACTATGGCATTCAACTTTTCAGATATTGGTTTCAGTTCTTGGCTCAATTCAGCAATTTTCAACTCATTTTCTGATATACGAGTTTCAGTATTAACAACTTCTAATTTCTTTTTGTCTAAATCTTTCTTCTTATCTAAAAGACTGGCTACTTCGATTTCTGAAATTAGGAAGGTGGATTACAATCATTCATTATTTAAATACTCAATTAAATAGGGCTATAAGTTTTGAAATAATATTTCACAATATATTATACTAGTGGCCAACCCTCGATTTGCTTCAGCGTAAGCTATAGTTTCTGTTCTTCTACATTTATAGAAGAACTGTTTCTGTCTACATTTATCGAAGAAGGCTATAGGCTTTATAATATCACACTACGATCAGTAGGAATGGAGCATCGATGAAAATGTTGCCAAAACGTGTAAAAATGTTCCATTTGTGAGCTTCCGTTGTGTGCGCTGCATAAACGGTTGAAGTTACACATAAATAATGTGTGACAGAATTGTTCCCTTTTAAAATTTCTATAAAAAAGTCCGCGACAGCATACGACTATTTAAGTTTGTCTTACTATAACGTACGTAACGTGGGTGAAACCGCAGGAATACTCTAGTTGTGACTTAACAGTAATAGTTAGACATATGGTATCGCGGACTTTTTTGTAGATACTGATGTCCTCTATAAAACTTTAGTACATCACTTTGCTCTATTGTCAATGACTTGACTTCCGCAGCTACGCAATAGGTTATTTTTTTCCACACGTTGGGTTACATTATTGAAGTTTTCATACGGAAGCCTAACTTTTTTGAAAATACTCTGTAGCCTATGTTCATCGGGCATAATGTAGGATTCTAAATGTGAAAGATTTTTTCATATCGGTCCATTAGTTTCGGAGTCCCTTCAATACAAGCAAACAAACAATCAAATCTTTCCTGTTTTTAATATTAGTAGTATAGATAGTATAAAAAATAAATTCCTCTGTCACACCCGTTGAAAAAAGCGATAAAAACTACATAAAATATTGACGAGCTTGATGGCAAGTGGTTCGATGGCGTTTAAAAAATGGTTGAGTGAAGGATGGCTGGATCATGCGTCATGCTCGCGAACGGGCGCTGCCAGCGGAGATGAGTCTGCTACATTAGTGTCGATTCTGGCATGATTTTCTATACTTAAAACTTAATTTAACATCAGCCTCTCCTTTTCATTCTGTATAAAGAATGACAAGGATACACTGTTGTCAAATTTAAGTTTAGATTTAGAATCATGCCAGAATCGAAACCATTTAATACTGTTTATGGTTATATATTTATATTTAACTTTAATCATACCTTATTATGACTAAACTGCAGAACACGGCATTCTTAAACTATGTGTTAAATCAGTATTTTTAAATTGTATAGCAGTAGTGAAATACGTTGAACTGAAATGTTTTGTAATAATGTACGTTTAGAGCCCTAAACCGGAGGTGTAATTATTAAACGAATGAAACAACCATTTCAATATAAAAAAAGCGAGATTTTAATCTAAAATGTGGGATACATTCCATGGGATACCATCTAATCTAAAAAATCCTCACTATCTCTAAACATTGTTGTGTGTGTGCCGGCCTAGAATAGCACCACCCCCTCTCGTCCCATGGGTGTTGTAGAAGGCGACTACGGGAACACAGCCAGCAGAAGACGGGCAGCAGCGTCTTCTCCTTCAATTCTATGGCCATACTGCGATCGCCAACCCGTCTGCCAAGAGTGGAATTACGGCAAAAACCCCCTAATGATAGATAAAAATCGGGCCCTAGTCCCCGGCAGCCCTGTATGTCCAAGCCACTGTAGCAGCTTTGGTAACAGCAGGGCAGGGGGTGCGAAGAATCCCCGGGTAAGATCCGGCTACCATCAAAGACGAGTGTACCTGGAAACCTACAACACGCGCACACTAAGGACTGACGCGAAGTTAACGGAGTTGGAAGAATCCGTTAGTAAGTTACGCTGGGATGTTATCGGTCTATCTGAAGTCCGAAGAGAGGGAGAGGACTCGATAATCCTCAATTCTGGTAACTTACTATATTACCGGGAGGACGACCAGCAGTCCCAAGGCGGTGTCGGGTTTATCGTCCATAAGTCCATCGTCAACAATGTGATAACCATCGGAAGTGTATCGACCAGGGTAGCATACCTGATACTCAGTATCGAAAAGATATTCGGTAAATGTCATTCAGGTTTATGCTCTCCCTCCCTCTACACATCCAGATGACGAAGTGGAGGTTATGTATGAGGAGATCTCTAAAGCCATGCATAGCCACAAAACCCACTACACAGTTGTGATGGGGGACTTCAACGCTCGGTTGGGGATGCGTTGAAGGAATTTGGAGTTGGGCAAAGGAACGCCAGGGGTCGGATTTTGGTTGACTTCATGGAGAGTGAGAACCTCCTTATGATGAGCGCCTTCTTCAGAAAGCCCCAAAATCGGAAATGGACCTGGATGATTCCTGACGGTAAAGTTATAAATGAGATTGATTTTATCATGTAGGCACATATTGAATGATGTCTCTGTGATCAATGTCGTTAAAACGGGAAGCGATCACCGTTTCGTTACATGTATTGTTTAAAAAAAAAAGTCATTCTGTTAATTTTTTCAAAAGTGATCAATCTGTGCAACCATATAATGTTATCCAATCTTCTTGAAATTTATTTTGCATGGATAAATTTTATATCATTGAGACTCAGGGGGCAAGCGAAGTTAACAATATATATGTATTTTTTTTTGCCTAGCATAATGAAACACCCTAATGCATAGTCCTAATTCAGCTTAAGGCTAGGAAAATTTCGACGCGGCGAATAGGGCCGTGGTAGCATAATGGTCAGTGCATTCGCCCGGATTGCGAAGGATGTGGGTTCGAGTCCCGTCCGCTGCCTGGTCCGCGTGGATTTTTTTCTAGTAAACTTTTCTTTAGATTTAAACATCTAGCAGTTAAATGCTTAAACAATAAATAAAAATATAACTATAATTGCTATTTCTTCTTTCAAATGTTTAATACTTGAAAAAGTATTCATTTGACATTGTGGGTTACCTACAATGCCAAGAGATGGCGCTGCCTTGCAGCTTAAGGCTAAGAAAATTTCGACGCGGCGAATAGGGCCGTGGTAGCATAATGGTCAGTGCATTCGCCCGGATTGCGAAGGATGCGGGTTCGAGTCCCGTCCGCTGCCTGGTCCGCGTGGATTTTTTTCTAGTAAACTTTTCTTTAGATTTAAACATCCAGCAGTTAAATGCTTAAACAATAAATAAAAACATAACTAATTTATATTCGTAATGGAAAGTGACTTCATGAATTATCTCATATTGAAGTCATTTTTCAATTTGACTCTGACGGGGAGAAAAAAACAGAGTTACAAGTGCTTTTAACAGCAGCTTTTCAATATAGCTTATTCAGTCTAGACTGAATAAGCTATATTGAATTAAAAATATTTATGAACACCCGTTTTTGTTTGAGGGTTCGTTTGTACAAGAACAAAGACTATAGTTTTACTCGAAGCCAAGTGAGGTTGTAGTTAAGAAAGTATTACTGTGAAATATTTTTTTTGTTTAACACTTTTTGTCTTGTCAATTATTGTTATTTATTCTGTTGAATATTTTTCTGGTCAAAATAAATGATAAATCATTAATTGTTATCTTACCAAGTATTTTTAGTGACTGCGTATAATCTTTTCTAATTTTTTTGAGACGATCAAAGCAATTGCTATAACGGTCTGCTTCAAATATTTCATCAAAACGTTCTTTAACCTTTTTCCCCTCATCCAGGGGCCAACTAGAATCTTCTTGATGACAAAATATAACTGAATTTAAGATGGCTTTAGAAACACCTGTACAAAAGAAATAAGAAATTGTGAAAACTCTTTCTCTTCATAGGCTCTTTCATAGATCTCGCCGGTCTGGTCTGAGCGGCGTGATATCACAAAATACTGTTGAAAAAACAATTAATATGCTAGCTGTAAAATAAAAGACAATTTAATGGCATGATTCCCTTAACCTCAAACTAAATTTAACATCAGTCTCTCCTTTTCATACTGTATAGAGCAGTGGTTCTCAAACTTTTTAAATGACGGAACCCTTTTGGGAAGCAAAATACTTGATGGAACCCTACAATAAAACAATTATTTTTATAAGTGTATTCTATATTAATCAGCATAATAAAAGTACAATGTATCCGTTACTAATTATTATTTACTTCACCACTTGGTAAGGACAATAATAGAAAACATTAAAAAAGAAAAAATCTAACTAGTGGGAGGTATGAAACTGTTTTTTATTTTTCATCAATTGCTTGATATCAGGTTTGATGGAAGAAAGTTGGAGTCTCATATCAGCTTCGGCGTCCAGTCTATTGCGATATTTTGTTTTCGTGGCTGCGTAGGTAGAGAATCCTGTTTCGCACAAATATGTAGTTGGGAACGGGAGAAGAATATCCAGAGCCATTTGGCCAAGCATTGCATATTCATCTTGGATTCTGCACCAAAAATCATTAAGAGGCGTCGTTTTGAACAATGACTCCATACTTGTGTCTGATGACATTTCTAAAAGAGATTCATATATCTCATTTGACATGTTTTCAGGCTTTTCCAAGTTGGGTAAAAAAGGATTATGAATCCAGGAGTTCACTTTAATTTTTGTATTGTGTTCTTCGGGAAAATACTTTTCAAAAGATGCGCGCATCGAACTGAGATATTGGACCAATTCTTCAAACACATTATCTTCAAACATTTCTGAGTCGTTTTCGCTAACAAACTCAGTGAGTAACGTAAAACTTTCTATTTCTTTCTTACCAATGCAAATGATCCAAAAATCTAATTTTCTTTTAAAAGTAGTTATTTTATTATAGGCCTGAAACACTGTTGTCTGTTTACCTTGCAATGATAAATTTAATTCGTTAAGTTTTTGAAAGATATCCGCCATAAAAGACAATCGGAACAACCAAGTTTTATCATACAAACGGTCCTTCAAATTAAAAGAAGTATCTGCTGAAAGAAACATTTGTAACTCGGCTCTAAGTTCAAATAGCCTTGTTAAAGTTTTTCCCCGAGACAGCCATCGCACTTCTGTATGGAGCAGCAGTGTTTTATGTTTGCTGCCATAATCTTCACACAATAATGAGAACAATCGGGATTGTAGTGGTCGTGATTTGATAAAATTAATTATTTTTACCGCTTCATCCATAACTAATTTTAGATTAGACGGCATTTGCTTCATCGCAAGTGCTTGTCTATGCAGAATACAATGACTGGAACTACAATTAGGCGCTTTATTTTTCATTCGTGACACTGCTCCTGCTGTTTTACCTGTCATCGCCTTGGCCCCATCTGTACAAATGTCAATGCAATTGTTCCAACTGAGATTATGTTCTTCAAAAAATATATTTATTTTATTAAAAATTTCTTCCCCGGTAGTGTTTGTAAGCAGCGATGAACACATAAGCATGTCTTCTTCAAAAGAACTTTTATATGGATATCTCACAATAACCAGCAGGATAGCCAAACCAGCGACATCAGTCGACTCGTCCATTTGCAAAGCGAATCGTGTATTTTGTAGACGTGTAACTAGTTCTTGTTTGACGTAGCTTGCCAGATCATGGATTCGTCGTGAAACAGTATCGTTTGATAGCGGAACAGTAGAAAGATGCTTTGCAGATTTTTCATCAAGCATACATTTTGTTATGTCTAATACACATGGTTTTATTAATTTCTCAGCGATAGTGTGCGCTTCACCTGCTTGTGCAATGCGATAGCTAACTAAGTATGATGCCTCCGTGGCCTTTTCGTTGGTAGTTTGTGTTACATGCATCATATTTTTTTGACTTTCTAATAACTGATCTTTTTTGCGAACAAAAAATTCTTTATTCTTGTCTTTAGTCTCGGGGTGTACGGTTTCTAAATGTCGACGCAATTTGGCAGGTGCCATGGAACTATTAGGAAGCAGTTTACTACAGAGCATGCAGAGAGGTGAGCCGTTGGAATCAACAAATCCGAAACTGATATAAGATTCATCATACTTCCTTTTTTTCGTCTTTGAAACCGTCGAGCTTGACGTCGTGGCACTCGTGGCATCATCTTCTGGATCGGTGATTGCTAAATTCTCCGCGCGCATTGCTTTTGAACATTCAGCGTCATTAGAAGATGTTGTTGGAACACGTTTAACACCTTTAAGCCAACGTTCCATTCTTCTTTATTTATAATGTTACAAGTCAGGATAGTGGGGTTTAAATAATGCACAATCGTTACTGCGTATAAGAGACTAAATTTAGAACCTACAGGGAAGAAATGTATAAAACTGAGACAACAGAATACAGCAGGCAGTAAAACAATGAACACCAGTTTCTCGCTAGCGAGCTTGTAAGTAGGTAGTAACTTATCGCTCCGAACGCTAATCATCAACTGACGACGCCAACGCGCGATCGCCGCTTTTATACTTAGTCCTAGACTCGATCTCAAATATTCTCGAAAATACTCGAGTCGGCACCTTTGATAAACAAAAAGCAAAAATAAAAACAGAAATTTAAAAATAGCGTTGTAAACAATATCGACTTTATCCTTTGAAGTTAGAGACGAAAGTCGCTAGTTGACAACTATAGCGTCTAATTCAGAGGCGGCTTTTATCAAAGAGACTGAGCGCTTACAAGTATACTACCCGCTCGTTTTAAGTTTGCCGCTGGCGATAGGTATGAGTGTATGACGTTCGAAATTTTTTATTTAATTGTAACAATAAAAATTGTGTACGTTAGATATTTGGGTAAAACTATGACACATTATAAGTTTTGTTGTCACGTGGGGGAGGGTACGCGCATTCCACAGACCGGCAAACTTAGAGCGAACGCGTTGTACAAGTATAAAATTGTTGAGACCAAACTTATGAGATATTGTACCAGCTAATGTAACACAAGCTTATACAAATACAAATAAATAAATAAATAACATTCATAGCGTTTTGTCTCCGCGCGGCCGCGGAGTCCGCACAGCCGCGGAGCGACCAGAGAGAGGTGTTTTGATTTTTTTATTTCTAAATTCTTGCGGAACCCCGACAGAGGTATCACGGAACCCTAGGGTTCCGCGGAACACACTTAGAGTATAGCTGGTATAGAGAATGACAAGGATACACAAGTTGTCAAATTTAATTTTAGGTTTAGAGAATCATGCTAGAATCGCCACCATTTACGTATTTTTATATATCAATGACTAGCAATTAATCACTTCCCAATGCCCAATCAGTGCTAAATAGGTACATGAGCATCTTATTTTTTGTTATATTTTCATGTTTCTGATGTAAAGCATAAATGGAGTTCAGTTGTGGAAATAGCTGAAGGAGCCAAAAGGGTGCCAAAACTCCAGCTATTCTTAACTATATCTTGCTGGGATAAACTCGCAAACCTTAGATTGAATAATGCCCTGCAAGCTCAAGCCTACATTTGCAGCATGTGATACTTCTAATATTTATATTTCTGAAATGGCTTGTGATTAATGGTCAAAAATAAAGGTCATACAAAGGAGAATCAACTGAATAGTAGGTTGACCATACTTTTAAGTTTCTACTAACAGACATACCTAATTCTTCAAACATAACAAAATCCAAGTCAGCACATCTTGAAGAGATATCCTTGGTCTTCCCAGATTCATCAATTACTGATAAGAATGAATCTAATGTTTGAAACTTGGTTTTTTTCTTGTGTTGTGCAGTGACTTTCATCGATCTTGAAACTTCCAGTTGTTTGTCTTTTGCATTAACAATCTGAAATAGAATACTTAATTAAACAAAAACAAGTAAATGCCAAGGTAAGTTCATTAGGATCATATGATTAGAAAACAAAACTAAAATAATTTTATTCTGTTATGACTACTCTATACACATGTAAGTCAAAATAAAGCTTTGCTATTGCTTCCTAGTTGGAAAGAGCTGACTTTCCCTCTTTTTTACTTAAGACCATGGCCTTGGTCCCACTAGATACCTTTGAAATATGACTGTTATTTTTAAAGGTTTTTTTTAGCCCACAAATGCACAACACGGGACGTGTTGAGCATTTGCGGCTCAAGGTATTAATCTCGCTAACGGCAAGTGTAAGTGGAGTCCTATCACAAAAGTGGTTAAATTGCTAAAGTGTGCCTCTCAAGTCAACCTCACCTTAGTGGCCTGAACCCAATTGTGAGCATTGAAACCTTACCCATCAACAGAAACAATACCACAAAAATATTATTTTACTGTGACCCCTGTAAGGTGGAGGTTACTTCCACAGATGGGTACTTTAGGTCATGCAGGACATCCTATATGCCCTTGCTCCTATTTAAATTTGACAATGGGCTATGTTCTGCAACTTGACACTATAATTATGTCTATTTTGCATGACGAAAAGATCAGTCCTAACATCACAGCTTCTCCAGGAAGCTCAGCTCTAACTATTAATGTATTTATTTTTGTCTTGAATAAATATGAATATATTGACTTAAAAATAATTTTGAATTGTGATGAGTATGAGGCAAAAATTGTTAAATCAATGTTCTTGAATTTGAAGACTAACTAAAATTAATAAAGTGTCTACTGTCTATAATTAATATTGTGAACTTTGTGGTGTCCATTATTTACTCATTAAATATGAAGCAATTAAGCGATTCTGGGAGACGCAAATTTGACAGTGCTCTGCATGTAAGGTTTGAGTTTTATTTTTAAAGCAGTCCTGTACTGACAGATTTTGCCTGAAGCAAGCATTACAATAATGCTAAAAAAATATCATTACTTTACAATATTACAGGATTTATAGGTGAAGGTCATCAGTTTGTGAGGTGGTATTGTACTGTAATGCTTGACATTGAATTTTCATCATCATCAGCCTATTAATATCCCCACTGCTGGGGCACAGGCCTTCCCTATGGATGGAATAGGGAGATTGGGCCATGACCCACCACGCGGGCCCAGTGCGGATTGGTGGGTGCTAACGACTGCAGATGCAGCCGGGACCAACGGCTTAACGTGCCTTCCGAAGCACGGAGTAGTTCGAGTAGTAGTAATTTTTGGTCGCCCATCCAATGACCGACCACTGCAAAAGTTGCTTAAGTTCAACGATCGCAGCCGAACGCGCTAACCACTTGCACCATCGAGCTCCTCTATTCTCGATTGAATTTTAAATTGTCACATTACATGTAAATATTCTTAAATGAGGCAGCACCTTGAAAATATCAAGTTATAAAGATTAGGCATTTATTTATTTGATCACCAACAAAGTTACACTTAGACATTTATTATTTACACATTTATAGTACGACACTTTATTAGTGAAACTTTAATTATAGGCGATTACGACAAAAGTCATTGAATCTATGAAGCCAGAAACACTGCACAATAAATATACTGATTGGACTTCGTTTAAAGAATACATTGAAGAACACATACAAATGAAAATGGCTCTCTAAACCTCTGACGACCTAGATAATGCTACTAAACACATAACCTCTTTAATACAGCAAGCATGTTGGGTTAATACTCCTTCAATTAGCAGCAGCGAAAAAGTCACAAACTATCCGCTACAGATAAAACTAGCAATACTTGAAAAGCGTAGACTGCGTAGAGTATGGCATCAAAGTCGAATCAGAGAGGACAAGGCTAAACTCAACAAAGCATGTAGTGAGTTAAAAGACATGTTACAAGCTTGGCATGAGGACACCTTAAAAATGCAACTGGAGTCACTAACGGGAACAAACGATACAGATTATTCGTTGTGGAAATTCACGAGGAACTACGACAGACCTCAAACCGCGAAACCTGCCATAAAAAGACGTGACGGATGGGCTAGGACCGCACAAGAAAAGGCAGACACGTTCGCTGAGCATCTAGCTAATATCTTCTGTCCAAACGATATGGTTATACAGGAACACGAAGAACAGGTCGATACCATCGTAAAACAAGATTATGAAATGGCTTTTCCACCAAAACCTGTTACAGTCAAAGAGGTATGGAGGGTGTCGTTGGAATTGAAAGAAAAAAAAGCACCTGAATTTGATCTGATCACTAAAGAAGTCATTAGACAACTTCCTAAGAAAGCTATAGTCTTCTTAACAACTCTGTATAACGGAATACTTAGGGTGCAGTACTTTCCGAGGCTGTGGAAGGTATCCCAAATAATATTGTCAATAGATAACAAGTTACTGATATATAAAACTATCCTTAGACCACAGTGGAACTATGGCATACAACTCTGGGGTACTGCTAGCAATTCCAACATCCTTTGCATTCAAAGAGCCCAAAACATTAGCGATGCGCCATGGTATATCACTAATAATGAAAATCACGAACACCTGGAAATGTCAACAGTCAAGGAAGAAATAACCATTGCGACTTAGAAATACCGGGCTAGGCTGGAGACTCACCCGAACATACTAGCAACACAACTCATGACTCGGAGTTATAACAAACGACTCAAAAGGAAAGACATCCTATATAGAGAGAACTAAGGAGGAGATGTCCTTACTGAAGGGCACACTCTGACACCCCAATGTTCATCCAACACATTTGCTTATAGTGGCACGCACTGATCGCAAATTATAATTAATAAAAAAAAAAAAACGCAATTAAATCTTATAAAATTTTCATAATTACATTAATTTCAATACAAAACAATTATGAATAAAAATAAAATTTTAAATTGTCAACAATTAAATAAATTTATGAAAAATAAATTAATAACTCGTTAGTGCTATTTGGATGAGTCCATAAATGGTGTGAGTGGTATGAATGTACACAAGATTTTAAGGTGTCACCTACTCAGAGGTTTGAATCCTGGTTGGGCAAATATTTATCCCATAAGCACTATGCTTAAAGTGGTAACTTTGGGGCTAATAAGCTAATTGGGCTTGCACCAATTAGTTCATTCTCATATATATATATATTATCTCGGATAGCCCCAAAGTTAAAAAAATGTTTATTTACGATATCCACTATCTAATGTGTACAGTATACAATATTTACAATTGCAAAGTTAAAGGTAGCTTTTACATACCTTCAACCTTACTTGAGCCATAACTTCAGTAGATCTATTGACTTTTGCATCATGAACAAAACATTCGTTTCGGCTTCCAGGAGGCATCTGCCCTGTGATTGCGTAGCGTAAACATTCAATGATAGTAGTTTTGCCACAACCGTTTTGTCCTAATATCAGAGTAAGAGGCTTCTCAAATGTTATTTTTTGTTCGTCCACTTCTTCAGGGCCAAAACTTCGTATGCCTCTCACAGCCAAAGATTTAACTCCAGCCATTATGATTTTAGTAAAAAAACGCCTGGATTATATGTTATCAGCTATTTTCGCGCCAGTACAAGTATAACAGAGACCATTACACACGCTTCCCGGTTTTCGACATCGGCATTCATTCATTCATTGGCTTGGCATTTTTTCTGACACACATTGACATTTGATTTTTTTTTCTGTTTTATGGCCGTGAATTTCTCCATTTCGGCCACATTTGACATTGACATTTGAAGTGATGTACCCTCAATTCAATTTCTTCTTTAGTGGCTCCATAAAGATTAAGCCAATGACTAGTGTATGTAGCAGGGATTGTCTATTCTATGCTTGTGCGGTATATTTTTAAATGAAATTTAATAACTCTGCTTAAAGTGTAGCAGGGTGTTGTGCAGGTACAAGGATGAGGAGTGACTGAAACCGAACAGTATAGGAAGAGAATTTAAAGTATGAGGATGTTGAGATACCTGAAACAATTAAAGCTTTTTGTTAGGGCATGAAGCGGCAATAATCTACTTACTAGCTACAATTTAATGTTATTATTGTCAATATTTGCACACAGGACATTCACAAAATCCGAGTAGACAAATAATAGTACGGTTTTAAAATTAGCGGGGCGAGGGATAGACGTAGGAAGTAACGTATATAATGAGGGGGGGTTTCTAGGGCAGTTGAAAAAAATGTGATTTGTGGTACCCTCGTCGAGGCCACATTCGCATAGGGAGCTATCCTTGACCCTGATCTTGGCCAAAAATACAGGCGTGCATACGTATCCGAGTCTAAGTCTGGATATGGTGGAGATAACTCGTTTTTTAAAATTGCGAGTTCGGAAAAACCAAGGGACGCATGGAATGTCAGGTTGTACATTAGCGTAATGTAAGCCTTTTGTCTTGCTATTTTTTTTCCAGTCTTTAGACCATTCCAATAACAAATTCGTCCTTGCTATGGAGGCTAGATCATTGGGATATATGATATATGCCATTATGTGTGAGAGAGCTACTGACCGTAGCTTGCTTGGCGCATGCATCTGCTGTCTCATTGCCGCTAATACCTGTGTGACTCGGAATCCACACCAGAACAAACTGTAGCCCTTGCCGATGACAATCTAATAGAAGAGTCTTGATGTTTAAAATGAATTAAAATTTAAATCTACATTTAAATTGATTAGAACGGATAGCTTGTAAACAGCTCTTTGAGTCAGAGAATAATACTACTTTATTAAGTTTGTGGGATTCAGCAAATTTAAGAGCTTCTAATATGGCAATGGCCTCACCTGTGAAGATTGAGCAAACAGGAGGACATTTGAAGTTTAAAATTATATTATATTTAGGGATCCAGACTGCAGATCCAACATGACTTTCTCCAGATAATTTTGATGCATCTGTATAGATTGTAAGCCAGTCGGCCCATTTCTCGGAGATTATCTGGTTCAACCTAACTTGTGCATCTAATGAATGTTTTTCTATGCCCAAATTTAAAATTACTTCTGGTTCTAAAATTAGAGCTTGATAAGGGGTTTCAAATAGAGGGTTCAGTCTAATATTGGTACACAGGAGATGGGAGGTTTATTAGTTTTCTGTAGCTAATCAGCAGACAAGGCAGGTCTTTATGGGACCAGTATTCATTTGTAGGGGCCAGTTGGTGTAGTAGATGAAGTTTTGGAATTAGAGGATGTGACGTACGCTGGTAGATTTTGAAGAGAAATTCATCTGACAGATATTGTCGGCGAAATTCTAAGGGGGGTTCAACACACTCAACCTGCATTGCATTTATGGGGGAGGACTTCATGGCTCCAAGAATGATTCGTAGACATTTTGATTGTATTTTTTCTAGGGATTTCAATGCAATTTTACTACAGGGAAGTAAAAGAAAGCTGCCATAGTCCAATAAGCTCCGGATAAGGGAATAGGCTAGTTGACTCATGTCGAATTGTATTAAATAAATGTTTATTTCTTAAAGTATTTGGTCTAAGGAACCTAAATATATCGATTTCACTTCATAAAAGCAGAAGATTGCTGTAGAAATTTAATTTTAAAAAATATTTTTTGGTCTATATTTTTTAAACACTAAAAACGCTATTCGCCACATCCGCCATGATTGTGACGTCTCATATGGTAAACAACTAAATGTCATTCGCGTGTTATGTGGGTGGATTCTTTCGTCTGACTTAATTTATCATAAATAATTAACTGACTTAATTTATCATAAAACACTTTTAACTTTAGAAAAGTTTCCGTTTACTGTTTTTTTTTTTGAAAAAACTAATTATGGATGCCGGCTTTGTGAAAACAGAAAGCACAAATTGCCAAGAATAGACGCATTCATGGTTGGTGAATTTATTTCACTAAACCCCGATTTCTGCTCTGCGGAGTAGAGAAACGACAAGGCATCTATGTAAGTACAGTGTATTTAGTATTACAATGTAGTAATAAACATAAAACTGATACAACATATGAATAAGTGTAATAAAGTTGCGTAGGTTAATTTCTTTCGGCACTTTTAATTCACAACTTTCCTGGAATCTTCAAGGATGTGTTTTTATATTCTCGTACAATACAATAATGATAATTACTTTATTTTTCGGGGTATTTAGTAGAAATCATCTTTTGTTTATTAAAAAGTCAGTTATTTTCTTACGAGTTTTTATTTATTTACCTTTCTCTATGTGTTTACTGCAGTTAACGTCATAGCATAGATAATCTATAGACTAAAATGGCCGATAGCGTTTTTGTATGTCCATGAAAAATCTATTTTAAAATTAAAGATTTGTAGCTTTTTAGGTCTCAAAAAAATACAATACATTTTTTTTCGGTCTAATAGAACATTTATTAACCATTTAAAACCTTTTTCCAAAAAGGGTCAACTAGCCTATTATATAATAACCTCTGTGTAACTGGGTGGGCACCCCACCAAACTCCTGAAAGAGCTCTTAGAATATTCAAGTTTTTTTCACATTTTTGGATGGTATAATTAATATGATGGACACCTGTCATCTTAGAGTCTAACATCATTCCCAGAAATTTTACTTTGTCTTTAATTAGAAAGTTCTGTCCATCGCAGGAGATATCTATATCGGGGATACTTCTTGATCTTGTGAAACAAACTACACTACTTTTGGGAATAGAAAGAGACAATCCATGATCTGAAAGCCAGTTGTTAAGATAATAAATAGCATCATTAAGTTTACTACTAGCATCTTGAATTTTATCAACCTCTAAGTACAAGGCAAGGTCATCTGCATATTGAAGTATATTACAGAATGACTTAACCGTCAGGTCTAGATCATATGTGTAAATACTATATAGCTAAGGGCACCGACCCCTGGGGGAGACCTTTCCAAACACTTCTGGCTGGTAGAGTAGAATTTTGGGAGTTTATGAGAATCGCTCTATTGGTTAGGCTATTAAAAACAAAGTTTATGATCCTCTCAGGGATGTTCAGCTGGAGCATTTTCGGCCTGAGCACCGGGAGAAGAACGTTATCGTAGGCGGCTGCTACATCGAGAAACACGCCTACAACTGATTTTCGTTTTGAAAGAGCAATACGGATATCAGTCACAAAATTACTCAGACTGTCCATTGTGCTTGATCCTTTACGAAAACCGAATTGCGTTTCTGCTAGCCTGTTATTGTTCTCCAAAAACCATTCCAATCTGTTCTGGATGAGGTGTTCTAGTATTTTAAACATTGTGTTCGAGAGAGCGATAGGGCGGTAACTGGATGGGTCGTTGCCAGGTTTGCCTCCCTTTAATATGGGAATAATTATCTGCGTCTTCCATTCGTCGGGTGGAGCACCACTGATAAAGATTGTGTTGATCAAATAAAAAAAGCAAAGTTTCTTGTCATTTCCACTATTGGCAATAAAAGAGTAAGGGATTCCATCAACTCCCGGGGAGGAGTCCTCCAGTCCTGATAGAACTATGGAGAGCTCTTCCCAAGAGAAGGGTGATTCTAGAGTAGATGTGGACCTTTGAATTGCAGGAAGGACTGTGATCTGGGCAGACAAACTGGGTGGAATCGACATCGGGCAGGAGGTGGATGTCGATGTTTTGCTTGCGTCCGATGGCGCCTCCACCGAGTAAAGTCAAAGTCCTGCAGACCAACCTCCAGCACAGTCGCACCGCAACGGCTCAACTCAGGAAGTGGCTGGAGGACAACAACGACGGGGCTATTGCTCTGGTCCAGGAGCCGTGGATCAGATCCAACATCATATGTGGCCTCAACAACACCGGTGGTAAGAATTTTTACAACCCATGTAACCGCTCACCGCGGACCTGCATAGTATGTTCAAAACACCTACAGGCAAAAATAATGACACAATTTTGTTCTAGCGACATAACAACAATCCAAATTATACAACAGCAAAATCCAAGTGTACCTGTCCTGGTAGTTGCCTCTGCCTACATGCCTGAAGGAGAGGAAGCTCCGTCAGGGGAACTGGCTGAGCTGGTGAGACACTGCGAACAAACAGACAAGGCGCTGATCATCGGCACCGACTCCAACGCCCACCATCAATTGTGGGGTATGACGAAAAGCAACAAACGAGGTGAGGAATTAGTAGATTATCTATTTACCACTAACCTTAATATAATAAACACAGGATCAGAACCTACTTTCGTAACAAGAAGGGGCAGATCCATCATCGACCTTACACTAGCATCAAGAAGAGCAGCGGATCTGATCTCTGACTGGCACGTTTCCCCAGAGGCATCCTGCTCTGACCATAGGTGGATTAGGTTCAACATCGCGGGAAAGCGTGTCACCCAGCCACCTAGACGCATACCTAGCAAAACAAACAGAAGCCAGTATCGCAGACAGGTAACTCGGTCACTGCGACATCTGCAGTCTGGTAGTTTAGACGAAACTTATAAGATAGACGAAACAGCTGAGGAATTAACAAGAGTTATAATCTCAAGCTATCAGACAGCCTGTCCTCTTAGTACACCATCATTCAACTCGGGTGCCAGCCAGTCTTGGTGGGGTCCCGAGCTGGAAAAACTGAGGAAAAAGGTAAGAAGACTTTTTAACAGGGCCATGAATACATGTGACGACCAGGACTGGGATGCGTACAAAGATGCCAAGGCACTTTACAAGAGACGCATCCGACATTGGAGCAATGGGTCTTGGAGAAAATTTTGTTCAGATATAGACTCATGCACAAAGGCAAATAAGGTAAGGAAACTGCTATCT